ATTTTGCTTTTTGGTAAAACAGCACATATGATATAAATACCAGAATTATTTAACAGCAATAAATAATACCAACAGGACTGAAGGTTTTATAAGAAATGCTGGAAGATAAATCAAAACTGAAGGTTGGGTAACAGTGAAATAATGTTAACTTTGAAGTACCCATGTATTATCTCACATCATCTAAAAAGTTTAAACCACGACATATAAAAGGAGGGGAAAAACAAAATGAAAACACAATTTTTATCTGAAATTGTATGAGAAAATCAAAATGGTTGCTATAGTTACAGACATGGATATGGATGCATTGCAACAAATGGACTGGTTTTGGTGCTGTTACCCGTCATTGTCGTAGGTGGGACATGAAGTATGGTGCAAGAGGTCATAGTGATCACATACTTTTTTTGTGTGCATCTTTTTCAAACACTGAATTGCTGTAACAACTATTAAGTGCCAACATAAATCAAAATGTAGGTTCCACTTGATATAACAAAATAATACTATACAATTGACAGAATGTTAAAACATAAATTGGATCATGATCACAACTGCGATTCTGATTGGTCGCCGTCCACATCTGGGGAGGAAGGATGGGATACAGGTTTACGATTCCCCTTTGTTTGCAAAGAGTGGAAACTGTGAATGGACGACATACTATGACTGTCATAGCGTGCATCTAAGCCCATGCGGAAAGCATTGACAACACGAATCTGAAATCAAAAATCAGAAACACAACATGAGACTACAATGTATACTGGTAACACACTCACAAGATCAATATCAACACAGAAATCACAAAAGATGGAATGCTTTCGTTAGTTTCCTGAGAGTATTTTCACCCAGGAAACTAGAGTGGTTTAGTATCAATCACCAAGACAGCACAACAGTGTCAACAGACGAAGGTCAAATAAAACCCTGTCTACAGTCCAGTCACACAAAACCCTGTCAACAGACTAAGGTCAAATAAAACCCAGTCTACAGTCTAGTCAAACACAACCTAGTGTCTACAGTTTAGTCACAAAAATCGTTGTCTAGTCTTGTCACGCAAAACCCTGTTAACATACTAGTCACATATAACCCTGTCTACAGTCTAGTCAAACACAACCTAGTGTCTACAGTTTAGTCACAAACATCATTGTCTACAGACTAGTCACACAAAACCCTGTTAACGTACTAGTCAAAAATAACCCTGTCTACAGACTAGTCACATAAAACCATGTCTACAGACTAGTCACACAAAACCCTGTCTACAGACTAGTCACACAAAACCCTGTCTACAGACTAGTCACACAAAACCATGTCTACAGACTAGTCACACATATAGAATAATAACACACTGTTCCCTCATTAGCCCTGAATGAGGTAAAAAAATATCCCACATTGGTGATATTCACGGTCACTGTATTCTCAGTTTTCAAAAACTCTTCTTTCTGAATACATTTTTTGGGGTAAAGTGAGTGCCAAGTTTCAAATTATATGGGGAGTACTCCACACACAACCTGGCTGCAGTCTATTTACAGTCTAAATTTAGTTCAATTACACATAATCTTGCTTACAGTTTAATCACCAACAACCCTATTTATACACTAGTCACAGAAAACCCTGTCTAATCTAGTAACAAACAACCATGATTACACTCAACCTGCACATAACCCTGTCTACAGCATAGTCTCAAACAACCCTGCTTAAATTCAAGCCATATGACCCTGTCTTAATTTTGTCACAAAAGCTCCTATAAATATCTAAGTCACAAATAACCCTGTTACATTCAAGACATATAACCCTGTCTACAGACACATAACCCTGTCTACAGTCTAGTCACACACAACCTTGTGAGTACAACTAACACATATTACAAGAGTCTAGTCACTTGTCTTCAGTCTGACCAGTACACCATATCACTTGCCGATAAATTTGTAGAAATCATGCTGAAAGGGAGCTACGACCAAACAGATTTGGACAGTATTATAGAGCAGAAATGTCAGAGGAAAATTGATTAGTATTGGAAAATTCCATAAAACCAACCTTTTTTAAAACTAATACAAGACCAAGTTTTTAAACAAATAGCCCAGCAGAGGCACAGAGTTGATAACAACTTCAGTTGAAACGATAAGATTGATAACATTATGCTGAAAAATGTCAATCTTAACTGAAAACAAAAAAGTTTCCTCTGAAAACTTTGAATTCATCAAGTCTTCACCAGATTCTTAATCCATACCAACTCAATGAAGTTTGTTTCAAACCAGTCATGAAATATTGATACAGAATATGCTATATGCTTGCTACCCTAGCTATCCAAATTTGGTTATCTCCTACATCTAAAACTTTAAAAAAAAACTGTCTCTTCATTTCAGGTAACAGAATACAGTTTAAGATCATTCCTATGCATTAAAAAAAGTCACATAAGCTGATTTTTGTGAAACATGATGATTGAACAATCAAGCAAAATTCTCATTCATTACCTAAAACTAAAAAACATAATGACAATTTTTTTTAAAAACAGAGACAACAAATAATGCAATAAATTTCCACTGTATAAAAAAATCCTCTTCATTATAAACAGTACACATTACTGTACATGAACTTGTTAAACACTAATAAATTCCAACCTGTTTACAAATCAACAGTAAAATGTAAACCTACACAGTTTTCATGATTCCTCTTTTTATGCACAAAACCTCATGAAACAGTCTCTTATCGCTATTGGTGTATTATAAAGGGAATAGTCCTCTACACCACAAGAGTCCTGACACAGCATTGGAACTTAAACAATTCCACACTTATTGTGTTACACACTACAACGTCATAACATTAAAGTTGCTTGGGACAGGAAAGCAGACGAGGAGAATAAGGAACATCCAAGTACTCTTAAATATCAAAAGGCTTTGCTTAAATTACCATTTTGTCATATGAATTTTTTTTTTTCTGTATTTACAACAGGTTTGAAAAACCTCTAATAACTAGCTAAATGTATTTCAATACTGGTATTGTAGATGGTAAAAAGGGGAGATAAATAGTCTCTGGAAGGGGAGATTACTCTATATATGAACTAAACAATTTTGCTTCTATACAGATATGTATTCATATGGTTTCATTTTGAAATTCACAGAATGAATTTCAGAAATTCAAAATCAACAAACAAATCCTTTCACACTTATCAATAGACACAACAGGGTAGATCAACCTTTTTTTTTAAAATCAATCAAAAGTCCCTGCCTAATAAAAGAACTTTTTGTGGATTCCTCTGTCGTAAGGCGGGAATAGAAAAAGTAAAGTAACACTACCATAACATCATATGGTTATATAGATGTCTCAGTAATACTTTTCACATCAGAATGACTGAATGTCTTTGGGGGCGATTGTTTATGGGCAGGGTTTGTAGGGGCTAAGAGAGGAGATGGCTGCTTGGAAACGAGGGGTACATTTTCAAAGGAATGGCTTTTAGTTTTAAAAGTTGGATCCAAAGGGGAAAGAGGAGATCGTGGGGAGGGTATGTCAGATGATTTGGTCTTGATGCGAAACGATCTCTCATGGTTGTTGATCGCTTCCTCACAAATTGGGCGCGGGCCCTGATGACTTCGCGAACTACGCAAGCTGTGCAAACTGTGGAAACTGTGTATGCTACGTTTTTCTTCGAGGTCTTCCAGTGTGCTTTTAAATGCTCTCACTACTCGCAGCTGTCAAAGGAAGAAAGAGATTAAAATTTGGCTTTCAGAAAAAGGTAAAAAAAAAAAAAAAAAATGAAAGAAACTACTGAAAACACGATGATCCAGTTTTGTTCGTTATTTGCATGTCTAGCAAATAACAGGTTAAAAGGTAATGCAGACCACATGTACTGATCAGCCGTGCTGGGACAGACATGTACACGAGTCGGCAGACACATGTGTCTAACAACCAGATTACCGCAGCTACAATCAGGCTACACTAATATACACAGGACACAGTGGGCAGGGTGTGTTATCATACTGCAGTCTTTATGTAGGCTTGCAGCGTTCGTCAGCTTGGGTATACACACATACAACAGCGTCACAGAACCACAGTAGCATTGAGGTCGGCAGCTTAGGGCAGGGAATATGGCAACGCCAACAAAACACATATAGCGTGGAAAATAAAAAAACAAAAACTGAAGACAAGAGGATGGGAGGAAAGTCAGCTATGAGGTAGAGTAATGGATCAGGAATACACACAACTGAAGTATACCATCAGGGAATCTGAATACCAAGGAACTAAACTACCACCTATAGGGTAGCAGGACATACTACTGAATATATCCGTCAAATAAAAGTCACAAAACCTACAAACAAATGGGTTAGTATACAAAATCCATGTACACATGTAATCTGAGTATACATATATATATATATCTACAGCAAAATCAAAACATCACATGTTTTCATCATTTCACCCAAAAGAAACAAAAACTTCATAGTGGATGCATAGAGCATATCATTTTGTAGACTAGTCTAAATGCAAAAATGTTATGGAAACTAAAAAGTTAAATTAAAAAACAAAAATATTTTCTATCTATATTTTTACAAGTTCAAAATTCTAGTTAGAAAAATAAATGCAAACCATTCCGTTAAAATTAGTATTGTTGAAATAACCATGTTAGAATCACTCGGATGCATGGTATATTTCATGGAACACCATAACATTTTCGTTTTGTTGAAGAGACGAGAGTCACTGCATAGAGTAAATAGGAAAGAATGTAACTGGTTACAAATGAACTGTCAATCATCATCTTAACTTATGAAATAATACCCATGCAAAATAAATTTCTGGCTTTTCTTCTTTAGTAGACAATCCATCCTATGTCCTATAACTTCAAAGGTAGTTTCTTGAACTGTACACAGTTTATCGGTAGTGTTGATATCATTAAACACAAATGAGTGAAATAGTTTCAATTTGGGTTCAAATAAAACACGAACAAAGGGTATGCAGCAACTGTGTGTCTCTGGTGTATTGCTTGGACTAAGACAACAATCAAAAGCAGCTACACTTACCTGTTGTTGTAGTCGAGTGAGTCCACGGACCCACAGGATCTGGCCGCGACGTCCACCAACGTCCATTTCCTGAGCATTGCTTTCAGGACCATCCGACAAGTCGTGGCGGTCCGGAACTGGGGGGTGGGAACCCCAGCTGAACAGGTCTTTGGGCAGCTTATGAGTTGGAATAGTGGTAATGATCTGTGTGTTAAAATCGAAGAGGAAGTAAATATTATGCATCACTACAACACAACAGACACACTGATTAATTAACATTCTGATCTATGTGTATGATCTGCAGTGGAAAATGAAGTTTAAATGATGAAATTGATATATAGAATAAAAGATTTCATATCCTACAGATTCTATAAAAAAAATTCAACATTTCAAAATGATATTTTGTTACTGAAAATTTTAAAGTATTTGAGCTTTCATGACTAAACAGTTTGTCAAATCATCAAATTAAAAATATCCACACATGTAAAGCATGGAATCTAATTGTCCTTTAACAATACTTACCTGCCCCCAAAGTAGAACTCCTATTCCCAAGAACACACACCAAAGCCACTGGTCTATAGTAAGACCTTTGGTTTTAAATGCATATCCTCCAAACTGAGTAATTATTATCTGTATCAAAAGAATGAAATTCTACATCAATTTTATGCATAAAAAAAATTTGAAGAAAAAACAAATTTTCAGTATATTATATGATAACGCTGATTATAAAATTTTCAGGTCAACTGCAAACAATATATCCTTGCTTAAACTGAAGTGACTGGTATCAACATTTGCATAATTATGTGTTTGTTCAATTAAAACAGTGAAATGTATGCCTGGTGGTTAATCAAGAGAAAATCTAGAGTTATCTCGCCTTACCTGAGAAATGAAAGTTCCAATCCAGATGCCAATGAATACTGGGTTCCGTCGTAAACCCTCTATAATGTTACGCTGCCCATGAATTTTGCGAGCATTTATTTCATTACAAAGAGTCATCATAACAAATGTGTTGAAAATCAATGTAAAATGCTGGGTGGGGGGTGCGTGAAGGGCGCCTCCCCGACCATCGTCGATATCAAATAAATCCGCTCCTGAATCATGAGTAAACAAGTGAGAATATATTAGAATATTAGAAATATTAGATCAGAAACATGAAACTACTATAGAATACAATAAAAAGTTAAAATATAAAACATATATGAAGATCTAAACGATATACCAAGTTACTAGAAGGATAATGAAAGCATAACCCAGTTACCCATTTTAGAGTTTTGAGAACTGAAATCAAATATAGAATTGATTCTTGACTTAAATGATAGTTTTTCAATGACAACTCTACCGCTATAGTAAAACAGGATACTCCTGGAAATAAGACTGAAAACAAATAAAAAAAATTGATTCTGGATTTAAATAATAGTTTTTCCAAGACAACTCTACTGTCAGAGTAAAACAGTCACTCCTGGAAATAAGACTTGAAACAGATGTTGTCGATATGATGTTCAGTCTCCATAAACAGGACAATTGAACCAACTGGAGTTTACCTACCTGCAAACAGGATAGTAAAAATAACTATAAGTTGGTAGACAGAGTGCCCAATTATATTTTTTGTCATGGTTCTAGAGATGAGAGCTTTTGTGCGACCATAGGGACGTCTGTTGAGCAGTTCCTCACTGGGCAGCTCAGTGGCGAGAGCAAGGGAGGCCAGTGTGTCCATAATCAAGTTGACCCACAACATCTGGATGGCCTTCAGGGGACTGTCCTGTGAAACCAGACATCAAATAATTATTACTGCATTCCACAACAGTTCTCCACATATATATATTACAGTTGTTACGGAAACTGGCAAATGTCAGATCTATTGTATAAAATTCTCCACAATTTTTTTTTTGACATTTTCTGTTTTTTGCTAAAGACATATTTTATCACATAATTATTGACAATGTCATATATTAAAAATAGTTTAATAAAGTGGCTGCCATCATTTGGATTCTGCTCCACATCTTGACATTAAAACCTGTGTAAGTGTTGTGTTTCTGAATAATGTGATAAAAAGCATCTTAAACTGGGTGCAGTTTTAATGACTAAATTGTCAATGTCATGAGACAAATAACCAGTATGAAGCATACCAGTAATGACATATATAGAGTATGAGATGGAATTGACCCACTTGTTCCTCTGGACTATGATCCCATGTACATCAAGGTTAGAGATAGTGTGTTGAGATAGTGAAAAGTTTATAGAAAAAAATACCCATGATGCTAACAACATACTATAGTAGATTTGATTATGCATTGTTCAAAAATTAGTATGTTTCTCAAGTACTAAAATGCTCTTTATATTGCAATTTGTTTAAAATTGTTGATATTGACGTGTGAAGTCTAAAGTTAGAATAGAAGTAATTGAACTTACATTGATGATACAGGCACCAAAAAATGCCACAAGAACAGCAACAACATTGACAGTGAGCTGGAATTGGAGGAACTTAGCGATGCTGTCATAAACGTTTCTACCCCACATCACAGCCTTGACGATACTTGTGAAGTTGTCGTCAGTTAAAATGATGTCAGACGCTTCCTTAGCAACATCTGTACCCGAAAGGCCCTGTGTAAATAATAAATATAAGGAATAACAACAGGCATGTTGAAAAATCCTTTTAAGTGAGAACATTTTCTAAAAAAGCTGGAATGATGAAAATTTTATAATCAAAATATTACTGATAAACATTTTTTTAACGAAATGTCATGGAAAAAATAACTTTCTTTTTTAAAGATGTCATTTAATAGGTATTTCTTTACAATGGATAATTAAAAACAAATTCAGGTCTCTCTATTAACCAAATATTAATAGAATGACAGTCATTATCTGAATAATGATTGAATAGAGAAATACATACCATAGCAAAGCCAACATCAGCCTTTTTAAGGGCAGGACCGTCATTGGTGCCATCGCCAGTGACTGCCACTACTTCCCTATTGGATGAGATCTTGCTGTCAATGATGCCTTTGACAAGGACATACTTGTCCTGAGGAGATGACCGGGCAAGCACCCTCAATTTTGGCCACACCTTGTCCAGTAGTTCCTGACTTATCTATTAACACAATACATACAGATCTCTTCAGGTTTTGTAATTTTACACATTGATCTTGCTATTGTTGTGATTAGCACTACGAAGTGAGAATCACATTGTAAGGTGTTTGGATTTATGCCACCAAATCAAAACATCAGGGGGATATTGTTTTTGTACTGTCTGTTTGTTTGTCTGTTGTTCACTTTAACCTTGCCTATAATTATTGCACTGTAAGAGGTGCGTGTTCCTTGTGACAAGATTTTTCTGGTGGTACCAAAATTTTTATGACCATGTGACCTACACTGTTTGACCTACATTTGAAAAATTCCAACATTTGCCATAACTATTGCACCATAAGAGGCAGGGCTTGCTGACTTAAGTTTAAGGTGATGTTTACTTGTAATGAAGTTGAAAAAAATCATCACCACAATGAAGACATAAGTGTGTCACAAAGTGTACATGTAATTAGCACATGCCTTACACAGTACAGTTTTAATGTTCCACTTCAGAATTTTGTTGCAACCTGGGGCACTGTATTTCATAAACACATCTTGTTTATAACTAATAAATAGTCATCAGTTTGATCGATATGACAGTTGGGAATTAACATTTTGTTTTTGGAGTGCAATTTAACTAAACATGGCATCTGAAGTTTTTTAAAGAGATTTTGTATTCAAATATTCTGGAAAGATTTCAATGTTACTACCAGTTGTATCATAAACAAGTGTTTGAACTATGTTCATGAATCTCTACAAAAGGAAAAGTATGTACTTGTCTTGACAATGAAACTGGTTATAGTACCTACCTCACCAGTGTGATCCCTGATTCGCTTGTTAAACTCCTTGCCCTCTAAGACAAGGAAATCCTCCCCAGGCTTCAGAATACCACACTTTGTGGCAATGGAGCGTGCTGTGTTTACGTTGTCACCTGTTACCATTCTTACAGTAATACCAGACCGCTGACATTTCTTGATGGCCATTGGCACCTGTCAAGAATATAGGGGGTGAAGTGAAAATGAGCTTTAATAATTTTTTCAACAGTACATCATTTCTGTGAAATTGTTGCACAAATCAATGTTTGGTTTAAAAGAAAAAAATCTAATTTGATTAGCAATGTGAAACTTGTGTCTTCAGTGTGTGTCAGTAACTCAGAACAGAGAAACTACCGTTTATGTCATATTTGAAGTCATTACTCGAAAGGAGAAATTAATATGCAGTAAAACACAACTTCTTCAAACTCGCATTACTTATACATCCCCTGTTTGTTAAAATTGATAGCTTGATCCTGATCCTTATTTATCTGTTGTTATTTAACCTTGGATTAATCCAGACACAAATGAATATTTCCTTCAGTTTTGAAGTATTATTCCTGTCTAAGTATATCGCAGATGTCATATCAGACAGAACTTTTTAACCCCTATTACATATGACTGCATCATACCATATTTGGTCATGCCCATGTTAAACAGGACCAGGACTTTTTATGATTTAAGAATATACGATAGAATTTTAACATACTTTTTACACAATCCTAAATATTGAGGTCATATTTATCATGTAAACTTTGATACTTTTGATTGACAGGAATATCAATATCCATTCAAACGAATGTTTCTTTTAAACAATTAAATTACAGAATTGTGATATTATGTCGGAAAGTAACTGCAGATTATGAAATCTGCACCAAAATTTTTTCCCTCATTTTTTTGAGATTGCTAATTATTTTTTTCGTAAATAATTATGTCATAACAAAAACCCTTCACATTGATTTGTTATTCTGTAAGTTCTCCCTAACCAAGGACAGAGCAAATAAAACACAGATCTAAGAACTGTAAAGTTAAAGAGTCTTGTTGTCAGACGTATTGTTTAAGCCAATCATGGAACTGGTCAGTCACATGAAATTTTTAGAAGTATTTTATTCAAATACTTCTTATTCTACAATCCACTGATAACCTCCCAAGAGTTTAGAGTTAGTGAGGTTTTACAGTACACATCTCATTTCTGTCATCTTAAATCGGTAAGAAATATTTACCTCAGGTCGGACAGGGTCTTCAATGCCAACAATCAGTATACAGGTAAGTCCAGACACAATTTCATCTTCATTCTCCCAGTCTGGGTCCTTCTCTATTGCTACCTCATTTTCAGCATTTGCACGTCCTGTCATGTAAAATTTCATATATAATTACATCACTATACCTAGATTAGAATGACATGGGGATAGGAAAGAGTTAGTGTGTTTAATACTGAAATTAGTGATGTGACTTGATTGTGTGGTTTCTCTACTAAAATTGGAGGAAGTTACAGTACCATATGTAGGTAATACCAGCAATGTAAAGAATTCTGACATAAATGTTTCTTGAGAAGTAGACGTTTGGAAAATGCACCAAATAAACATCTGTTAATTGCTCCTTATTGAAAAAAAAGAAGATACTAACCCATGACAAAATCCTTGTAAGCCAAACAGATTGTTCGCAGTCCATCACTGGCCATAGGCTCTATCACACTGCTGACCAGTCTCTCCTGCTCCTCCATTGAGAACTCCCGTGGGAAGCCATTGCAGTCGAGGATGTAATCACACCTGCAAATAATGAATATGTTCAATCCACCACACACCATCTCTCTGGTACAGTCTAATCAAGGTAAAATTTCAAAATCACATGCCATAAATTATGTACTCAGTATTTATTTTTACCATTCAACACTATGTCTCAGCTATCATTTGAATCTGCAGAAAAAAAACAAATCACTGAAGTTCCAGGTTTCAATTAACATGGACAAAATCTATCCACATGACTAAATTGAAGATTAATTTTCTAAGCTTTCTTTTTTATAAGCAAACATGAATCATTTGGAATTCTTACTTTTTCAGCACGATTTCTGATGCTCCTTTTGTAAATAGCCTGTATCCTGATCCTCCAGATTTTGGTACAACTGTACTCATGGATTTCCGGACAGAGTTAAATGTGTAGACTTTAGTGAGGTTACCCTCTGGTGTCTCATTTCTGATATCTTCATAACTCTGCTTCATATCCAGAACAAAACCAAGCAAGGCACACTCTGTCTTGTTGCCGATCTGGTCAGGTAGACCTCCGTCCTTGGATGGCATAATGCGGGATGTGTAGCCACTGTTGATGGCAATTCCAGGTACTATGACATCCTTGTAAGTGTCCGAAAGGGTGGCATAGTTAGGAATTTGTTTGTAGTGGATACCTGAAACAGTGAAATTGTTTTTTGTTTCCATGACAACTTTCACAAATAAGTCACCAAATCTATCTGATAATAAGTGAATAAGCTCACTTCCCCACATGTAAAACAGTGGATAAATTCATTTGTGAAATCACAGGCTTATTTAAGCTATAACATCATTCAGACATCATTCATGACATTATGAATGTTCATGGATTTAAAAAAAATATTTCTTCTTCTTCCAACAAATAGGATTCACGATGTTAAATGGACAAGCCAAGCTTACAACATCATTTATCAAGACTCTTTTTATTAGTGTTTCAGTCAAAATGTGAACTGTTATTGCGCAACTACTATCTCGAGGAAACCAAGCACCTGCCATTCCGCATTAAAAGAGTTGTGAATCTGTATCTAGACTTGACGAGAATGGAAGTGATTTTGATTAACCAATGCCTGGTCATAGCACTTGCCCATGATACTCTGTTACAAGATCAGCCATGACACAGTGGGAGTGCAACAGAAGAAACTGTCAACTACCATTATGCTACATTTTGCCTTGAACCAATATTGTACCCGACACATTCTTGTAGTCCATCAAAGAAACCACATGTGACATTTTGTTGCGAAACACTCCTCTGGAGGCTTTGACTTGTGCCAGAAATGTTTTATTACCAACAAGCAAATACAGAATGCATGGGCATTGTATAAGAGTATACTTTCAATACTCAAATTATTTTCTCCCTTGTCAAACAGGAAAATAACAATGAAAACTACTATCAGATACCAGTTTCACTTCATGATTTTACAATACTAACTTGGTAATAGTAAAACAAATCAACAAATTCTTCCAGATTCAAGAAAAAGGCATGAGGTATGCCATTTAACTTGTATACCTAAATGCGCACTAAGAAGACTATGCGGTGAATTACAGTCCCCCGCCCACACAACACCTTACTAGGGCAAACCCATACACAAAGTATGAAGTTCCAATGACCAATAGTGATAGAAAATAGCGTCAGGGCAGTCATTTTCCATGATGTAGGTCAAAGATCAAAATATAGGTCAGAGTGACCAACACACCATTCAACAAAGGTGAACCCATTCCCCGAGTATGAAGTTACAATGACAAGAAGTGGAAAAGATGAATGGAAGAGAAAAAGAAAAAAAAACTTTGTCTACAGCTGATAATTCTTATTGTGATTTTGCTTTTCTTAAATAACATTAAGGTAGATTATATCTGATAGTGAGAGAAGCAGGATTGTCATTGGTCAAGTGTCAACTGCTGCAACATGTAAGTATGATAATCAGTAAGAAAGCCAACAGCCAGGAAATCTGTGTTATCTAAATACAGTAGTCGAATAAGCACTGTCCAATAACAGAATAATGGTAGGCTATGATGTACAAATAACGCAACTTATTTTAGATTATTTGTGTAAATAAACAAGCTACGGGTAAATCCACAACTGATGTGTTATATACTGTAGAACTGAGTGTTATGTACTGTAGAACTTAGTGTTACATACTGTAGAACAGAGTGTTACATACTGTAGAACTAATGTGTTATGTCCTTTGATATGTACTGTGAAACTGATGTGTTATGTACTGTGAAACTGATGTGTTATATACTGTAAAACTGAATGTTATGTACTTTGATATGTACTGTGAAACTGATGTGTTATGTACTGTAAAACTTAGTGTTATGTACTGTAGAACTGAGTGTTACATACTGTAGAACTAATGTGTTATCTATTGTAGAACTGAGCATTATGTACTGTAGAACTGTACTGTAGAAATGAGTATTATGTATTGTAGAACTTAGTGTTATGTATTGCAGAACTGAGAGTTATGTACAGCAGTACTGAGAGTAATGACATTGTACTGTAGATCTGACGTGTCATGTACAGCAGTATTGAGCGTTATGTACTGTAGAACTGAGCATTATGTACTGTAGAACTAATGTGTTATGTATTGTAGAACTGAGTGTTATGTATTGTAGAACTGAGTGTTATGTACAGCAGTACTGAGAGTTATGTACTGTAGAACTAAGTGTTATGACATTGTACTGTAGATCTATGTTATGTATTATGGAACTGAGTGTTATGTACAGCAGCACTGAGTGTTATGTACAGCAGTACTGAGAGTTATGTACAGCAGCACTGAGTGTTGTGTACAGCAGTACTGAGAGTTATGTATTGTAGAACTGAGTGTTATGACATTGTACTTTAGATCTGATGTGTTATGTACAGCAGCACTGAGTGTTATGTACAGCAGTACTGAGTGTTGTGTACAGCAGCACTGAGAGTTAAGTACTGTAGAACTGAGTGTTATGACATTGTACTGTACATCTGATGTGTTATGTACAGCAGTACTGAGTGTTATGTACAGCAGTACTGAGAGTTATGTACTGTAGAACTAAGTGTTATGTACAGCAGTACTGAGTGTTAAGATCTTAAGTGTCTCAAGATAGGTGTCAATCTTAGTGATCATATATGATTTTTTTCTTCACAGTTTAAAATGTCAGCTCAAATTATGTGACAAATGTTAGCAGGAAAGCTGCCAATCAATGCGATGGATCAATAGGGTCACAAAGGCTATCATTAACACAGGCTTGTGTTTCGTGGCTATAATTAGTTGCTAAGTGTGCACGGTAAGAGCCTTGCTTTATGTAAATCAATCACATTATGCTGCACACGTAGTACAAGCTTTGACGCCAGAGATGTCTTTGCACCATTGTTGTCCCAAGACTTCGGAGGGTGTGACCTACAGAGAGCAAGCCTGCTTCTAACACCAAGTAAAACCTAACACACCAGATACTAATGGGAAACCTCAGCGGCAGCCTCACAATGTTTATTGAATAAGCGATCAGCTTGTCAGTGCTAAATCTAACACCAGTGTGAACGATAGTGCAGTGTACCCTTTCTATGACCTTCAAATTGTACTGCTGACAAGTAAACATGTTGTTGTTCTCAATATCTCCAGACTCAGTAAAAAATTCAATAATTACATTTTTTATCCAATTTTCGAAATTATGCTCAGGGTAGGAGGACAAATTATCAAGAATTTGCAAGCAAATTTTTTTTCCTTCCAAAAAAGATTAGTAACCCAAGACAGAATTTATGTAGCCTACCTCACAATGTTGTAAATGAACAAATTCAGTAGACATAACTGTATATAATAACTTAATATATCTATTAAAGAATAAGCTCTTTGGACCAGCATACAAGTTCTCACTCAAAGTCAAGGGTTGGCTTACTGCAGGATGATGAATAAGCATTTGTTTACATGATGGGCCTATTGAAAGGCATGATGTTTTGTGGGATACATTTTCTTCAATTTATGGATGTTACTTTTTGACTCGATTATTATCTTTTTGATTTTGAATGATATCTCTCAAGTTATGTATTATCTGTGTATCTATACAGTCTCTAAAATACCAACTCTGAGAAAATACCTTACAAGTCTACACTAGAACTAAACTATACCAGAAGATTGGGAGACCTGAAGTGAACTTACCTCCGATGTAACTTTGGACAACGGTCATTCTGTTGGTTGTTAATGTGCCGGTTTTATCAGAACAAATGGCTGTGGCATTACCCATGGTTTCACAGGCATCCAAATGTCGCACCAAGTTATTGTCGTGCATCATTTTCTAAAATAAGAAACAAACAACAGAGAAATTAGGTTATAATCACCTAAAATGTTTTACAACCATCACTTCAAAATAAACAATGACCACCAAAAGGTAACTAAGCAAGCAATAGTATCACTGAAAGTGATGAATGCTCCCCGAGAAAGACTTTGATAAAAATTTTTAACAAAGGGCAATAATTCCATAATAAAGGAGTTGTTGTCTACGACTTTGGTACACTGTACATTCTCTTAGTATGAACAATGTGTACATCAAGTTTCATTAGCCTTCTTTAAATGCAAGCAACTTTATGCGCAAGTCAGCAAATTTTAACAAAGGGCAGTAACTCTGTTTATTCAGGGTTCAAGAGCCTTGAATTTGGTAAACTTCACATCTCCTTAGTATCAATAATACATACACCAAGTTTCATGATCCTTGCTTAACTCTGAGCAATTATGAAAGAACAGATGGATAAGATGGCAACTATAGCTCCCCCAAAAATTTTCAGGAAGCATGAAAACTTAAGAGTTGCAATACTACTACACAAATGTGAACTAAATCCATGGAAGGATTTCTGAGACATCTAATAAAAATGATGTTCAATATAAACATGACTGACTACACATACATGGAGAAGATGCTACCAAAACCAAAGAATACATTAGAAAATTTGAAAATCTTAACATTGTGACCTTAAAAGTACAAAGTAATTTTTAGAAGAAATCTGATGCACTTTTCAGTAAGCTGTGTGAGAAAATATAGGAGTAAACCTCACAATCTCTGTAGATGAACCTGTTGGAAGTTTCTTGGTAATAGTAAATGTCGGTACAATATGAATGTCCAGATTTCCATGATGAGAAGTATCAATGTATGGTAGTAGTTGTCTGTTGCCTTTGACTTCCATTGACCAATGATCAACTTATTAGACGTATCACTTGATGTTATGAAACTATCAGCTACATATGCAATCTTTGAAACGGTTCTCAATATATGACATTGATTCTGACCATGTAGCAGAATGGGATGGATGAATATGAGTACCGTTATATGCCTCCTGCCCCATCCCCCACTTCTACCCCAGTAAACTGTCGGGGGCATATAATGTTGATATATAATTATATTAACTACAAATTAATTATGGCTATCAAATTCCTCTGTTGATGTTTGTATCAAAGTCAATATCTCAAAACAGCAGACTTTAAACAAAATGTTGTGTATGATTATTAGTTTTGAGGTTCTACAGAAGCCCTTCAATGGAATAGTAATTAAATGAAGGACAAATACTGAAGTATGTCATTATCAAAAACTATGGTGTAGTATTCCAGTGAAGGCAAGTAAGATAACACTTACCCTGACAGAGTAGGCAAGGGCAAGTGTGACGGCGAGGGGTAAACCTTCAGGTACGGCCACCACCAAAACTGTTACACCGATAATGAAGTAACTGACAAACTGCTCTATGTATTCTGCTGTCTTGTCACTCGTCCATTCATGTTGGTATGTGACAAATTCAGTGATGCAAAATTTGATGATGAGCACGAGTACTGTCACAACAGCAATAGCAGTACCTGTAACAAAGCATTATGGCCATTAGGGTTATGTCAGCACAAGTTTGATTTATACAAATGTTAAATACAGCTCAAAGGATAGTGTTTCTGTCTCTGTCAGTGTTTGCAAATGACATTCATAATATTCAGGAATATTTGAGCACTGCTTCAGTTGCGTACTGTACATGTGCAAGAAAATATATACTAGTCCATCTCGGGATACAACATTCTGACACATCCTTGTAAATATACAAAAATCCATACAATATACAGGCACACCCTAGTAAATACAGATTCATATAATACAAAATATCCAAATACATAGTTTCAGTAGATCAATCCACACAGTCCACAAACTGTATCACAATGGACCACTATACTTCTTAGTAAAATATTGTTTGACATCCAATTCTAAATATATGTTGATCCTGTTACCTTAGCATAGCAGGCAAGCTGAAGAATAAAATCTGATATCTTGTAAAAATGTAATGAGTGAGTCTTCACCTTGTACAGAAATGAATTCAACGGTCAACCAATGTTACAAGATGTTTCTAGACAGCAAAATCAAATATGCAATCAGTGAAAACAATTTAAAATGAAAATTCTGAACTGAAGGCAGGTAGTTTGACTTTAGCCAGAGGCATGTTTGTGTGTATGAAGCAACATTTGATAGCTTCAACAGTGATAAGGTCACTTTGGTTACAATGAATGGACAAAAAAAGCCCCGTGGGTCACTTTCAAAGTGTTACACTTGGGTCATATAATTATCAATTTGATATGGCAATTATGATAAAGAAATGTTTTGATTACATGTTTATAGTGAGGTGGTATGGTTAGTCTGTTCCTTCATTAGTTTTGTTTATTTGTGACCTACAATACAATATCTCCTGTTGAGTGATGATCTCTAGGAAGAAATGCAGAGTGTAGCTGATTTGTCTCACTATAATAATATCAGACACCACCTCTTATTATTTTTTCCATTTAATTAAGTCACTCATGTAACCAAGTCATGGCCACATACTTCTCCATTTTAGTATCTTACGTACTATTTCATATTAATCATTCAAACTGGCACACTTGGCATTTTGGAAATGTTGACTGCAGATTTCTAGGTCAATGTTCTGGGTATTTGGGGGCATTAATACATCTTATTTTTTTTTCTATGCAGGAGATCAAATTAAGACATGTATAATCATCTTTAGGACATCTAAAGTATATTGTAGTAAGCTCAAATTGCATTCTCATACCTCCGTAACCTATCTGGATGGCAAGGCGAGTGAGCTTGGCCTGTAGGACGGACTTCTCCTTGCGACTGGAATTCTCTTGGGATTTTGCAGCCTTCTCCTTCTGGTCAGGATCCTCGGCATCCTTCCCATTGGACACCTTGTTTGTGGAATTCGCATTCACAGCATTATGAGAATTTCCTGTTGGAACTTGTGGGTTTATCTGATCAATATCTAAAAAGGGAAATAAAATATAAATTATTAAAATATCTTTGCTTGTTAAAAAAAAAGAAGATGCTATCTTCTCAACTGTTTGGATTTAGTAAAAGCTTGAAATCATGGTAAACAGGAAAAATTAAATAAAAAAAAAAAATTAAAAACCTGACCAAAATCATGCAGCTGCATGACAATAATATCTTTAAATTGAAAACTTTGCAACAAAGCAGCAAATATCATGCATATTCAGTAGTTATCTTGTGGATCTTAATGATTGCCTCTGCTTTTACACTTAGTATAACAAGATCTGTTTCAATCATGACATAAACATAATTTGACATATATTACAGATGTAAGAAAATTGAAGTTACTTTGCATGAGAAAGTACTTATTTATTTATAACTTTAGATATAAGACAGGTGATAAAACTGTTGTAACAGTCATTACTAATCTACAGGTGGATTAATGGTCGCACAAGTGACAAATACATGTACAGGGATGGGGTGGGGGTTCATATATGGTTCAGGGAAAAAAAGCAGAGTGGTTAATTAAAAGAAGGAAAATAAAGTCTTGGTCAGTTTGATTTTGTGGTCAGTCAGATGTAGTTCAGGGTGGAGGGAAGCAGTCAGTCTTTATCAGTCCATCATTATCTTCTGTTTAGTGGTAGCTTAACTTCACAATGGTTTGTTCATGTTCTTCTCAAAGCCTGTACCAATTTTACAAAATTCAGAATAACCTTTATTAATTTATAAATTCAGATCTCATACAGAGACTGGTCTATTTGATTCTATAAATTCTCATCTCATACAGGGAATCACTTTTCTGATTCTATAAATTCTGAGCTCACACAAGGAATAGCCGATCAGATTCTATATATTCTGAACTCACACAAGGAATAGCCGATCAGATTCTATATATTCTGAACTCACGCAAGGAATAGCCGATCAGATTCTATATATTCTGAGCTCACCCAAGGAATAGCCGATCAGATTCTATATATTCTGAACTCACCCAAGGAATAGCCGATCAGATTCTATATATTCTGAACTCACACAAGGAATAGCCGATCAGATTCTATAAATTCTGAACTCACACAAGGAATAGCCGATCAGATTCTATATATTCTGAACTCACGCAAGGAATAGCCGATCAGATTCTATATATTCTGAACTCACCCAAGGAATAGCCGATCAGATTCTATATATTCTGAACTCACGCAAGGAATAGCCGATCAGATTCTATATATTCTGAACTCACACAAGGAATAGCCAATCAGATTCTATAAATTCTGAACTCAAACAAGGAATAGCCGATCAGATTCTATATATTCTGAACTCACGCAAGGAATAGCCAATCAGATTCTATATATTCTGAACTCACGCAAGGAATAGCCGATCAGATTCTATATATTCTGAACTCACGCAAGGAATAGCCGATCAGATTCTATATATTCTGAACTCACGCAAGGAATAGCCGATCAGATTCTATATATTCTGAACTCACGCAAGGAATAGCCAATCAGATTCTATAAATTCTGAACTCAAACAAGGAATAGCCTTTGCATAATAAATGAGTTCTGAGGTCAAACAATCAAGGAAAAGTCTTTCTCTATGAATTCTGAACTCATAAAAGGAGTACACCTGTGTGACAATTATACTACTAGGTAGGAAACTTAGTAGTCTTATGCAGTATGTACCTAGTGACTTACTGAAAATAAAGTAAAATAAACAGCTGCTCATTACAAAACTTCTTTTTTATACATTCACCTAAAAGTAGAATTACCAGGCAGATCAAAAAGAATCTCTTTACTATAAATACCAAGTAATTAATCTTCATTGCCCTTTCAGCTCTAAGATTCTGAATTAGATAAGCGGAATGTTTTGATTTGCCCATTAGTTTCAGAAATACATTAGTCAAAATGGTCAGTAAGATATTCACAATATCAAGATTGTTCATAAAAGCCCTATATGTATGTTAATTGCCAACAAACCAATCCAGAATATCATTGCCCGTGACAAACACAATGATGTAACAGAACCCAATATATGTAATACTATGATTTATTATCCAGACATACAATATCCCATCCTATCCATAAAATACATATTTAGCACATCAATACACAGCTAACAGTTGTTGACTGAACAGAACAGGATTATCAATTCTGGCTTAAATCCTTCAAAAGTATCATTTAGATCTGATATATGTTTTTCACTATGGATTACACAGAAAATCTATGGAAAATTCATTAATGATGGATGAGCTCATATTCTCAGATGTTCCCTCTGGGGTGGGTGGATGATGATGAATTGTGCCCCAAATTCTAAATGAGATGGTCCCTATGGAACAGAATTGGAATCATAGCCAGGCAGTCCTATTCACTACAACAGAATGACCTCTGATGAACTCAGTAACCATGGTAAAAACCTGACATGGAGCCGGTAACAGGAAGAGTGTTCCCACTCTCCAGAGTGGTGCCTTTTTCCTATGGATCTTCACTATGAATTAGTTTCATAGCCATGATTCATTTGTCATTGTGTTAACTCCATTTTATGCTCCAATCAGGCATCAAATGCATCAATGTGCAAAATGAAGGTTAAATTTCCTCAGTTATAAAATCTGTCATAAATTCTTGTTAATTTGCTATGATGAGGGATAGAAGAGAGATACCAATAAAGTACACCCACACACAGCACACCTGTATGTGGGCGGACCTTACCGCTCCCACATCGTACCTGTAATACTGCCTGTTATTACTCTAATGGGGACAACTCTCTTACATTTTATCTCAATCACAATGCAATAACACTATCAAGTTTCTCTCCCTGTGTGTCTTTTTCTTCCCCCACACCCTGACCAGATGATTTCATAATGGGAAAAAACACATTTTAAAATATACTAGAAATAATATCTCATTTCTCCTGACTTCAAAACACTGCTGTTTACTGGAGAAATAAAGGAAAAAGTACCTCGTCTGACATATGTATCAGTACATCAAGTTACTATTATATACTGTATTACTGATGACTTTCATCTGGAATATTAACTTAGAAGTCATGCAGCCAGTTATGTAGTATTGCATTTAGCCTTCTCCAATGTGATTTCTTCAGCTGACTAATTAACTTATTGTGTATTGATTGTGACAGCCACGATAGTGCCTTAAGACTTTACCCACAATGCAGGACTTCTAAACTAATTTATTACCAGATCAAACTCTGTACAGCTGACAGCAACCTTTTTCACCTCAAGTTTTCAACAAGATTGTGATTTTTACCTTCAAATAAAGATTTGAAAAAGTCTATCACATGAAACTGTGAGTGTACAATGCATCATACCTTTGACTTCTACCTCGAAAAAAGACCGCTAAAAACCTGACCCTTGACCCTATGACAGATTGCTGAAAAAATATTTTTTGAATTTAGGACTCTATGACACAAACTTTTGAAAATTTAACCTCTGTCCTTTACCTGCAAGACAGAATGCAGAAAACTATCTCTGACTATGTAATAATGAATTGTGTGCTGGGTTTATCTCCTCATGAACTAGCAGGGTCTGAGGTTGGGTTTCCTGTTAGTAGCTGATGGCAACCTCACTGAATATCATACTGGAGGTCTTTTCATACCATCTACAGCAATTAGGGTGTCTGACTCAAGGACACAACCACGACACCACAGACCATTCTGTTTCTTAGCTACCTGTTAACAGAAACTGCCATGAGTAGGGCGTGTCACCTCAAATTTTCATCTAAGATGATTACCTAGGGCAATGCTCTGTCTGACAAAGCTCCTACATTTCAATGAAATGTTTGTATATAAATCTGTATTTCGTTCTTAAAATTCAACTAACTTATTATAGAGGTTTCAGCTTTTTTTAAGAACTTTGAAAATGATACAGGCAAACTCTCCTGCATTCTTTGTATATTTTATGGAAAATGTTCAACATAACTTTTTCAGAAAGCCATGATTAGCTAGAGGACAAGATGAACTAATACCATTAGCTGATCCATGTAAAAGATTACTAGAAGGGATTTCATTGCCTTACAAATCATATCAGAATTACCATGACTGCAAATCCAATTTTTAACGATTCATATCACAGATGTAACTTATCCAAACTGGAACTTGTCATGAATGTGATACACATTGATGTCCTAAAAAATATATCAAAATTTCATCAGATTAAAATTGCCAAGGTACATGCCACAATGAACTGCATGAGCCAATAAAGCTTGTTTGTGAACATCAATTTATATTCTAAGAAGAGTGTGGCACCCGTCTTCTTTCATTATGCCCTCTAGTGCAAGCTGGTAGTGAGTGATTGATGACTAGGACTAGTCACTTGGGACCATTGTCCATGAGATAAATGCTGAAAGCCCTGTAATGATGAACACATTCTAGTAATTATTAGACTTCATGTCTCGTATCTGGAGATATTGTTGCATTTTAAACACAAGATGATGAAAGTGGCATTTTCCTAATAAGGTGAGAGGAGGAATTGTAAAACAGACAAAAATTTAAAAGAAGTCAGTTGAAATCTGGTTTATAGATATCCTTCTTTAAACTAATAGATATCCTGCTAGCAACTAAGTTCATATGGATTTGGGAAGTCATTTTGCACAAATTTCTGATGAACAAATTGAAATTTTATAAATCATCATAAAATTGGGGAAGCTTTAGATATGGTTGACAGCCACTAGGGCTTTGCTGAACAGTCAGGCTTTAAGCTCATGAAGCAACATCTACTGATAAACTCAGCAGAAAAGATAACCACGAAAAGCTTCATCAGGTGATAGCCAAATTGAGGCTCTAATCAACGCTGAAAATGTTACTCCTTAGTGCAATGTTATCATCAACAAATTGAATGTAAAATTCAATGATGAGTTTATGGCGTACAAAGATGAACTATCTTAAGCAAAGGTCAAGGTGCCTTCAGGTGAATCTATGTTTTGTAAAGGTCAATTAATGGTTTGTTTTGTTTTGTAAAGGTCAATTAATGGTTTGTGTTTTGTGTTGAAAGGCCAATCAATGGTTTCTAAAAGTCAATTACTGGCGTGTAAAGGTCAACCAATGATTTGTTTTTTTGGTTTGTAAAGATCAAATCATGGTTTGTGTTTTGTTTTGTAAAGGTCAGTTAATGGTTTGTGTTTAATTTTGTAAAAGTCAATTAATGGTTTATAAAGGCTAATCAATGGTTTGTTAAGGTCAATCTATGAAATGCAAAATCAAACTATAGTACGTCTGTAACAGTCAAATATTGTTAAAAAAAATAAACATTTGGCTTGTAAATGTTATTCAACAGGGTGCGAAGGTCGCTAGGATATGGTTATTTTGTATGTGCAAAGGATACAATAGAAAAGGCTGCCATTTGAACATAATGTTCAGAGAGGCAAAACAGAGAGAGTTATTATGTGATAGGTGGACCTGGCCTTGGTACCACTGAACTTGAACAGAACACTTTTTTATTAAGCAGGTACAATACAATTTATATTTAACAAAATACAACCTCTTTGTCACAGCTAATCTAGGTGATTTTTTCCCAAAAATAAGCAACACTAACTGACTGATTTATTTTAGTGAAGTTAATAAATTCCTAAACATTTTTGCTTGTACTACAGCAAAGGACTACCAGTATTCTGTCTGACAGGGATTATTACATCAAGGAGATTGATCAGCTACACAGCCTTGAAAATAAGTGGTTATAACCACAGAGTGAAGACCACTGGATTCCAAAACAAATCCTCAAACCAAAGTAATATCTGAGCACTGATTGGAATGCCTAGCATTGCAATCAATAATCGTCCTTTGTCCCTCCCAATTCCTAAATTCCCTAACCCTTAAACCACCAGTGTAGCTCCTAAATCAAACAATAGGAAAGTCCATGGTGGTGAGAAGGGGTGGCAAGGCTACCAGACAGTTTCAAGAGAAAACATACATCAGGATTCAGAGGCTGACCTGTCGCTGGTCTCTTGCCTATCAACCGAGACTAAAGAAACTGTAGGACTTCAATGAGACCTAAATTTGTGTGACAAGAAGGTTGGTAATTTGTTAAAGACAAAAACATGCAATGTGCTGTAGGCTTACGGAGTCACGTACCAACTTTGGTGTCACCATCGCTAGTAAGCACTAATGGAAAATGAAACAAAGAAAGTAAAAATTAAAAACAAAATCATAAATTGTTTCAATCATTATCAAAATAAAATGAAAACTTGTATAACAGTTATAATACACATTTTCAAAATGTATCTATAAACAAAATTCCATTGCAAATCAAATATTTCATATGCAAAACTGATATCAACATTTGGAATCAGAGAATTCTCAAATCAATACATGATTATTTCTTGAAATCATTAAAAAGAATAGGACATGCATTTCCAAAAACAATGAATTCTATGAAATATGCAAAAACTTAAATGTCATTCACTAAAGAAATGACTTTTTTTTCTTTTTTTTTTTAAACTATACAACATTTACATCAACATAAATACTGACAATCTGAAGTATATACTATTTCTGATTATTAACCGAGTTTCAGAAATGTGACATTACAGTACAATTATATAAGCCACAAGAAATAGTGTATGCAATTACATTGGCAATATTTTTTCAAAATCAATCTAAATTCTATATTTCTTTATAAAGCAAATATTTAGCATGTAAAAACTTACCTTGGTATTACCCAACATATTTTCCCAAAATTAAAACCAAACAAATTCCAGATTTTATATCTTCTAGATTAAAATACAAATTGATACATGCAAAAAATTTGAAAAAAAAAACAAAACAACCCTCTAAAATGATACTGAAAGCCCTGGTCACAGGGACCGAGTTAGTCACATGTAAATGATGGGAGAAATGACAAAAATGCATTATGTATGTTATACTACAAGTGCAAAAATTTAGTGAACTGGTCCAGGAACAAATAAATTAAAAATCATTTGATTTGAAGGAAAAGTATATAAACACTTTTACCAGTCAAGGGTGACCTAACTTTTCTTCCCGACTAACTACGTAAGTGTTCCTGGCAGGCACCTAGTCTTTTTAGTATTCAACTGAGTCAAGTACATTTGAAACTGATAGTGAAGTTTATTTCATAGATATATTTGATTAATCAAAGTTATCTTTACACAATACTTAAACTGATATTTAACTGTTTTTTCCTCTTTTTGATTCTTTTACATTTCAAAAGATAAAAAAAAACATTAAGTTAAACTTGATAAGTCTACTTGGTGATTGAAATATTCATTTTAAGTGAATTATTTCAAAGCAAAATGACTGCAACGTTATTTTAGATAGATTAATTCAAAGCGAAATCAATGTTAAAATTAGAAGAACACTTTGTTGTTATCATAAAAAATTGACTTAATGAATTTGGTTAATTTAAATACCTACAAAATACTTTATATTGTATATAAACCATTGTTGAATGTATCATCAATAAGACTGTACATTTACTGCATTATCTTTTCTGTTTACATTAATCATTAATTGTGTTTAATATTGACAGCAAAATCAAGATTCATCACAAAACAAAGAGACAGGTACTTTTGTGTTTTTTTGAATGAGACAGAAGATGAAGAGAAGGACTTACATGGAACATTCTGGCCTGCAGTGTTAGGTCGAGTGCCTGCAAGCCAAAAACAACCGGGAAGCAAAGTTAAACAGTCAAAATCAAGATCATGTCAAGATCATGTCCAAAAAGGCATGAATCAAAAAAAAAAAAAAAAACAGGAACATAAACAATCTGGAAAAGGAGAATATGATATGTTACAGAATTAACATATGAAAATAGGACAATATGCAATGAGGGCGAAAATAATAGGCAGGAAACCAATCATAGGAAAAAAGTGTGACAGTATGAAAACAATGCTAGATTAGTTAACATATCTAAACAAAACCTCACCATTGACAACCTGGTTTTCATACATAATGCTTGTGTGACTATTTTCAAGCCAATCTCAGAGTTGTGGTATTTGGTGATGTTTTTAGTGAGCCTTTTATAAAGAATGAAAACTGAAACGCCACTAGAAACATTCTGTGAGCACTTGTTTCTCTTCTATTAAGTTTGCAAATTTTACTGCTCATAAAATATTTCTTCCAACACAACAAGATTGAGTTCAAACATTTTACACAGCCAGACCAAAGGCAGATGCAGATGCAGAGAAACAAGAAAACAAGATAGTGTAAATAGACACATACAATGGTCACATACAGATATGACATTGTCAATGGATGAACGATGGATGAACGATGAATGAACATGCCAACACTCTCAGTGATGGTTGATAACAGTAGACATTACCATGTGCAGATTCCAAACCACATGAGTATTCAGTGTATATGTTGAAATAAACAATTTCAGGAAAAGCTTTCATCTTATTTTTTCCAAAGGAAAATCAGGAAATTTGATGATTAACATGAATTTCAGATTTTTCCTATGCAGTAGAATAATTTTCATTCTTCCAGATATTTCATGCTACCGTTGTGCTAATGACACTCATGTGGAAGAGAATAGAAAGAATGTTACAGATAAGAGAAAGTGGAGGTAACCAGTGACAGAATTACCTGCCAGGGTGCTTCGTACATTACCTTTATAGGACACAACAGTCACCTCTTTCAATTACCATTGAGAAAACAAAAGAGCCCAGCATGAATGTAAAGCAGAGTAAGCAGCCATGCTTTTAGTTTCAAAATCCAAATCTGCCTGACTCTAGCTTCAGTTACTTAGAAAAATCTGACAGGGTTTGTATTTCTGGCAACACTACTTGGCAGAAAGCCTCAGTGAAATTAAGCACACAAACTCAAAACATCACAGCATTTGCCCTTTATGTGACAACCCTTCACTACAACTATAGTCTTTGGAACTTGCCCATAAACTGTTGCATTAGAAGGGGTTGAAAGGTCAAATGGAATTTTCAAAAAGGTGGTGAAAAATTGCGCGTTATAGCATTTGCCTTAGCTTCTGAACTGATGAAATTTTGTAAAATCTACAGGCATGATAAATTGAAAGACTAGTTATTGTGATTATGAAAAAAAATCAAATGATTGGAAAATGAAACTAAAATCTGACACTTAAGCTACACTCACAACAAAATTACACAACAGATTTTGCTTGCTTCAGCACAATGATTTAAGACTGTGTACTTTTTACACACCAAACTGTTATAGAAATATTTCTCTTCAGAATTACACTTTCACACCATTGAAAGATCTGAAGAGATTGGATCATGGAACAATATCTGTGCGAAATGTGTTTCAAACATGACATTTTATCATAGAGCCGGGAATACATTCAGTAATATCTAAAGGTGGGTGTTCTGCCCTTTTGCAAACTAGTTAAAACTGAATTTTTTTGTGATTTTTTTTCTTTTTCTTGGCCTTCTTGTTCTGGAGAACAAACCAAAATAAAAGCTAATTTGTAAATGAGGACATAGTTGCTAGTTTTCTTCCAAATAATTCTGTCTTGAGAAAAGGTCCTTGGTGTAAACATTCATTTATGAATGCCATTTGGCCATACATCCGATGTATTTAAAACAAGGAAATATTAGTTCAAATGAGAAAACCTGACCCAAAACAACTGCATGTCATATTAGAAGAAAATTATCTTTTTGAATGTTTTCCGAATGAAGATTTTTTTCCTATGTAAAATTAATTAATTTATTTCTCATTTTAAAATGTGCTATCCTTATTCAATACATATACAGCTAATTCCCTATAAATAGCATATTATTTAGATCCACTTGGAGCAAAATATTGAATATTTTTCGAAAAGATTGTCCTGAATATTTCTTCATATTTAATCTATGTGTAAAACAAGCAAATTTCTGCATGTATGGTATATAATGTATATCTCCTAATATTTTCCTAAACATGCAACAAATAAATAAATCAAAACAGTATGAATTCAGGTCATTATTGTAACCAGAAATATTTCAAAACAGGACTAGTTCTACTTTCGTAAAACATGAATGTCCCTTGTTATTATAATGATGACTGATGAAAATAGGCTTGACCTTTGAACCATTAATTTTTGTTTCAAGCCGATCAAAATACCAAGGCTGGTAATTTCACTATACCTGAATTCACACTAAAACGGATAATACTGAAATAAATTATTTGTTAACAAATCAAAAAAATATAAACACAAGACAAAAATATCATACTTGTTACACTGCTACATCTCAGCATGCAGTTCAAATGACAACTTCAAAAGGTAAACCTAGGAACAATTTCAAACAAGGCAGCATGCATTTGATGAGAGAGTGAGCCATTCAAAACCTTGATTATTTCATAATTTTTGGATTTACCATACATCTATCATTATTCATTCAAAACAGGTTCCTTACAACCAAATTTCAAGATTGATTTTTTTTTGCACAAATTTCAAGCAAAAACTGCAAACATAGCTAACCACTCAAATTGATCAGATAAGTAGTGTGTACAGAGAGGAGGTTTTGAATTGCTGCCGAATGGTGCTGAACATATATAATCATAAACAACTATCTAGATACCTATTCTTTCATATCACTGCATGACAATGTTGATCTGTATTGATATTTCACAGTGGGAAGTATATATCAGACCTAACTGTAGGAAATAGCATTAGCGATCTTGACCATATCTGCCGTAACATAGCTGGAAAGATTTTTCTTAAAATAAAATGTTTCTTAATTTGATATCTAAGTTGTACGACAGCCAAATCAATAATCAGCTTCTTGTTACTTTTATTTTGTTGCTTTAAATGAATTAAGATGTTTTAATGGAAAGCTGCATAAGTGTTTTGATCTTGTGGTTGAACACAAAATTTTGAGCATACAATTCAATTAAACTCATTATCAAATATTTCGATCACTTGCTGCAGTGTTTCGTGATTTGATCAGCACAGAATGTTCTGGAATCTGTGAAATACAGTGTTACACTGTCATCAAGGACTTAATTCAGTGACAGCTATACATTTACTCATTTCCATTGTATTGAAATCATTAATTATAAAATTCAGAGGTTTGTCATTTTCAGCATTCCCCCCCCCCCCCCCCAAAAAAAAAAAGAGATCAAACTAGAATGTATCAAATTAATGAATCAAATATTAACTTGGGTGAATAATTCTACTTTAGTTACTTAAATAGCAACTAATGAAGTCATGCAATGATATGGAAGAAATATTGAAAATCCTAGACTCTGTGGTACCAACATCAATAGATTGTATACATACATGGTAAAAAATTCCTATGGTAAATTTAGAGTACACACATACTAAAAATATAAATAAAACCAATAAATACATTAGAAGACAAAGTTAACAAAATAATCATATTAAATATATAATACATCATGACAATCTCAATGAGTTAAATATATAAACATATGTATGTGTATTCTCCCATACATCTTTGGTGTGGTGCTATGGAGGTTGTTTGGTGTATATATATGGTGGTTTGTAACGGTAGAGAACAAGATATATAGGGCGGAGTATATACAATATAACTACATGCTAACCAAGGCTATCTGTATACACCATTCCCTGAAGGTTAAAGTTTGCTTTTCATTTACCCATCCACAAAAAGGATTTTTTGTTAAAAAGACCTATTGCATTTCTTACTTTCTAAAATAAATGGTTTCAGCTTGAGATGAAAGAATACCTATACTCTCTATTAATAATATCCCATATGGTCATATCTGGCATATTTTTATGTTTGTGTATTATTACCAGACAAAACGTATGGTGTGTGAGTATAAATGCATGCTTTCCCGCACAGTTTCTGTTCTACACACGATGCAAAGTGAGCTCCAAATTGCTTGTTCCTGTATCATGCTAACATGCTTTGCCCCTGTTGGCACCACACTGTGGGCCTGCCATCTATTATGCTCATGTTTAGTGTTTCTGGTAGGATCTAATACAAAGCGGGCCTGCCCTATAATACCTGCACTGTCCCCTTTCACTTTGGATTTGTCTTTCTTGTCCTTCTTTTCATCCTCATCCTGTGATGCACCCAGCAGAGCAAATATGATGCCTGTTTGAGAGTTGACGCCGACTGCAGTGACCACCATTTTGCCGCTACCTTCCATGACATGGGTACCTAAAACCATGACGACATAACCATTAACTAATCTTAAAGCTGATTTATCAAAAGTAAGTATGCAAGCTGCATCCATTGTTTTATTGCTATTACAAAATGCCTTGAAGCATGCTGTGTAGATTCTCTTTAATCCCTCAACTAAGACTGCAGATGCAATTAGCAATCATTAACGTCCTGTTTTAGCATCCCAAGCACGTGAATCATATGTAGTGACAGTAAACATGCCATCATTTGGACTAGTACATCCCAAAACTTCCATAACCTTTTGGTGAAGTTCTCAACATTTTTTACCTGAATTTTACAACTAGTAACAGCATAAATTGGCAAACAGTGCAAATATTTTCTGAATGTTTGGAAAGATATTTTGGCTTTTGTTTTTTATTTTGAGTAATAAATACTTTTTATCTGCAAACAGGAATCTTTTCAATTGCAATATCAACAACAACTTTGGATGTGGATCTTCACTGCAATCAATCTATCTTCTTGCTAGTCAAATAAAAGGTTGCCTCTCAAAGCATAATTAATAAAGAGTATTTTTCTATCACAACATGTTCATCACTGACTTAGTCCACTAAATGCTTATATTTCATATATATTTTACAGCCCTGCATCCTTTTGGTATCTATACAGAGTGCACTGCATCCCACATTTATCGGCCCTCTAGCTATGAACTGACAGTGGCTTTACTTTCATGTTTATTGATCTGATGAATCTTCAATCCCCCCCCCCTCTCTTTCTTTTTTTTTTTTTCTTACATATTGCAACATCCCCAATTGGAAAAAATAGAAGAAAGTTTCATATCATTTCTAATATTTTGCTATATGGGACCAAAATTCCTTGAAGCTTTGATTTTTTTTCCCTCTCTGATAAAACTTGATACCAATAGACAAATTCTCTGACCTTTTCCCCTCTCTCATAAAACTTGATACCAGTAGACAAAAATTCTAGTGTTTCCTTCTAAAAACTAATCTTAAACTATGAGGGGTAAAATTTAAGGAGCTGTTATAAGTCTTGAGGTAATTATAATTTATACAGACAGATTTTCTCTTGATTCACTCAGTCTCATGATCAAGACTTCCGTATAAATAAATCAAAGCAATAATGCTACACATTTGACATTTAATTTCACTTATGGGTACAAAAAGGTTTCAAGTGAAACCTAGCTGATGTTTCTAGTGTAGAGTTTCTCAGACTATTGGCTCCAAAGTGCAGTCCCACAGCTTATTTGCTTTTAGAAAAAGATGCTCTCTTGCCCCTGAAGTAGAAATCTAAAAAATTGGTGGAGGGAGGACAAAACTTGTTTGAATGAATGATGGGGTCTCAGTTACAATCACAGACTTACAATATCTAATCAACTACCAGCCAGTAAAATGTCAATTTGGCAATTTACCACCACCATTTAAAAAAAGAAAAACACACAGAATGCAGACAAAGTTATTGATCTGCTCTTATAAATAAAAATCATCCTCTTTTTACCCTGAAACATTTCTATAGCCTCTGCTGACAGTCTTGTTTCCTTATTGGGTTACTATTCGGAGTCGTTTTATAAGACTCTTTTATTGAAAAAACCATAAATCAAAGTCAATGTCAAATCAAATTTCTTGATATCAGGAAAGAGTTTGAATTCTATGCAGTCCATGACAATGGTATTGGACAAGATTCCAAGCTACCTAGATTCCATAATCTAGTGAATGTATAGAGTTTCTGCGTAATTGACCATAAGCGACGACCCACTGATTGGTTGGGTTTGACAAATGGTTACTTTCCACGCGAGTACTATATAAACCTCTATGTCAAAATATATTGCTTTTGGGAGAGATTACCATACCAAACGTTCCTTGAATCTGCAATGGATTTGATGGCAACAATGCCAATGCCCTTAACAGCTGATAGTCAGGGAAATTCTGAACAAAAACAACTTCATTATTTTATTAAGACAAATTTGATGACTCCATCTGAAGTCTTTATAGCCATGGCAAGGACAATGATATTGTGTTCTGAAGTCTTTACAATCAAGACGAGGACAAAGATTTTGTGTTTTGTAGTCTTTATAGCCAAGACAAGGACAATGATTTAGTGTTTTGTAGTCGTTATTGCAAAGACAAGGACAATGATTTTGTGTTTTGTAGTCTTTATAGTCAAGACAAGGACAATGATTTTGTGTTTTGTAGTCTTTATAGCCAAGACAAGGACAATGATTTTGTGTTTTGTAGTCGTTATTGCAAAGACAAGGACAATGATTTTGTGTTTTGTAGTCTTTATAGTCAAGACAAGGACAATTATCTTGTGTTTTGACGTCTTTACAGTTAAGACAAGGACAATGATTTTGTGTTTTGTAAATGTTATAGCCAAGACAAGGACAATTATCTTGTGTTTTGAAGTCTTTACCGTCAAGACAAGGACAATGATTTTGTGTTTTGTAAATGTTATAGCCAAGACAAGGACAATGATTTTGTGTTTTGTAGTCTTTATAGCCAAGACAAGGACAATTATCTTGTGCTTTGAAGTCTTTACCGTCAAGACAAGGACAATGATTTTGTGTTTTGTAGTCTTTATAGCCAAGACAAGGACAATGATTTTGTGTTTTGTAAACATTATAGCCAAGGCAAGGACAAAGATTTAGTGTTTTGTAGTCTTTATAGCCAAGGCAAGGACAAAGATTTAGTGTTTTGTAGTCTTTATAGCCAAGGCAAGGATTAAGATTTTGTGTTGTGTAAACGTTATAGCCAAGGCAAGGACAAAGATTTTGTGTTAAGTAAACGTTATAGCCAAGGCAAGGACAAAGATTTTGTGTTATGTAAACGTTATAGCCAAGACAAGGACAATGATTTTGTGTTTTGTAGTCTTTATAGCCAAGGCAAGGATAAAGATTTTGTGTTATGTAAACGTTACAGCCAAGGCAAGGACAAAGATTTTGTGTTTTGTAGTCTTTATAGCCAAGGCAAGGATAAAGATTTTGTGTTATGTAAACGTTACAGCCAAGGCAAGGACAAAGATTTTGTGTTATGTAAACGTTATAGCCAAGACAAGGACAATTATCTTGTGTTTTGAAGTCTTTATAGGCAAGACAAGGACAATTATCTTGTGTTTTGAAGTCTGTACAGTCAAGACAAGGACAATGTTTTTGTGTTTGGTAAATGTTATAGCCAAGACAAGGACAATGATTTTGTGTTTTGTAGTCTTTATAGCCAAGACAAGGACAAAGATTTTGTGTTTTGTAGTCTTTATAGCCAAGGCAAGGACAAAGATTTTTTGTTGACTGAATATTAATCATGCTGTTTGAGAACAAATTACAACATCCAATTTCAAAATGCGAGATCTATTTTGGGAAGTACTGACATATTGAGGAATATTTTTCTAAGGTTGAAATATAAAAGCAGAATTGCACATTAGTTTCCAACATTTTAAATTGAAAAAAAAAGAATTGATTTAGGAATCTGATACATGTGACTTATTCACAGCATTGAATGAAGTAATTTCATGTTGGGTGGGACTAGACTAACATGGGTAACACATCAGTCCCTCCATAAGATGGTAGGACTAAAATCAATCTATAATCAATATTCCAAGGAAAATCTTTCTAACAAACAAAATAAACAAAAGTAAGTAGCCTTACCAAATGTAGGCCAATATCACTCATACAGGACACAGAGCCTTATTAGACATTGGTTCTCGGAATTGTTTTTCCTATTTTACACCATAGATAAAGTAATTAATTTCATTTCTGTATCAATAGATTGACAAGTGGGTAGTCATTTTTTAATCAATATGGAAGAAACAGCAATGTTTCCAAACATTTTTATATTGTGGAAAAATTATATCAAAATATTTTATAACATACAATTATCAGAGGCCACCATACAATGTTGATGTGAGTTTGAGCAGCACAATCCTTTCGGAAGATGAATCTCTTGACAAATGCACCAATACAACCTCATTAGGTTAAGCATACAACTAGCAAAATAGCAGGAGCACGCATCATGAAGCTAGAAGCACACAATGTGATTAAATCATTATTGATTAAAGAGGCAACTGACCTATATTTGTACTTTACCTCCAGAAAACAACATCATGTTTTCTAGGAAATACTTAAATTCATTGGAATCCTCTCTCTACACATTTTGATGTTCCTGGGGTTGGACATATACAACAAAGAAGGTTTTCAACATTCTTTACTAATAACCATGTAAATCTTTAGGTAACATAAAGCAGACTTAAGTAACTTGCAGAGGTTTCCAAGACAAGAAATTTGGGGAAAAACATTTCTCCTCAAAATGATGAAACTCTCAATTTTGGAAAAAAAAATTTCAGAACATCAATTTCATTTCCAAATTATGTTACCAGAGCTTCCTAACAAAGGTCCATGTAATATGGCTTCACAAACAATGGAAGCAAACGCTTGGTAAAACTGACAACTTCTTTGCCAGCTAGATCACGAACATTGCGAAGTGAGTGTTGAATATTACAACAGATATAACTTAATGATGATTTAATACCTTGCACAAAGCATGTAAACTGTAAAGTAACAGATAAACAAATAAGGTTTGTAGAAAGTCATACTTTGAAGTAAACCACATTACATAGCCCAAATTTACTTAGGATATGGTCCTGCTTATAAAGTTATTATACAATAGCTTAAGTCCCCGACATTACCTCTCCTGCACCCATTAAAATCAGGTCCTGGTCTTTCCCTACCTCCATTATCATGTCGCCTATGACCAACAATCCACTTCCTTTCCTTATGGCCATGGTCCTTCTCACCCCAAATATACAATAGCCTATGCAAACTCCTTTCAATTACCTTATCACCATTTTACTGTGCTCTAGACCTTTTTGCATCATATGATAATCTATGGCCTCTTAACCCATCTCCCTTATCCCAGTTCTAGGGTGGAAATGGTGCTTCTCAGCCCATTACACTGTAGACTATCCCCATCCCACTGCACACTTCTGATCCCCTATCCCCAATCTAGTGTGGAAATGGTGCTCCTCACCCCATTACACTGTAGACTATCCCCATGCCACCACACACTTCTGATCCCCTATCCCCATTCTAGTGTGGAAATGGTGTTCCTCACCCCATTACACTGTAGACTATCCCCATCCCACCAAACACTTCTAATCTGCTCCTGACCCCTACTTCCAATCCCCTATCCCCATTTTACTGTGGCCAGTGTCCAACTTGCCCCATTATATCATATATCTGCAGCCCCTCCTCCACCTCTCTTGCCTTGGTCCTTTTGACCCTAATTAGAGGATTGCCTTTGCATCACACTTTTCATTACATTGTGCCTATACCCCCTCCATCATCTTTCTGATATCCTGAAGCCTAGGTATAAAGAGTTCACCTGTGTCCTGCTGACATCAGGAGAAAATAACATTGGACACAACTCACCTGAGAGAAGCATGGGATCTCGGATCTCCCCCTTTTTCACATGGTCCGATTCTCCAGTAAGTGAGCTTTCATCTATTTTTAGGTCATTACTTTGGATTATAACTCCATCAGCAGGTAACAGATCACCTGAAACAAGTACAACATATTACATAAATCTTGTAGTTGTAAACTTCATTGATTTTAACACAACTTCCAATAACCTGGGCCTGGATTGATGTGTGTTACTGTGGGAGAAAGTTTCCAGTGATAACAGATGTGGTTAAGCAATGCAACACCAATACCTTTCCTATACAACCCAAGAATCAAACCCAAGAAATGAATTCTCAATGTCTCATTTAAGAAATGAATTCTCAATGTCTCATTCAATAAATGAATATTATTTATTTTACAACATTTGGGAAACAAGTTATTTCAACTTCAATTTCTCATTCAATATAAAAGCCCCTTTTGAACGTCTCATTCAATGTGAAATCCTTCTGAATATCTCAATCAATGTACATGCCTTTTAAATGTCATTCCTTTACAAGCAGCCTTAAGAAGGTCTCTATTTGATTATCTCTACCAATTTATAAACCTTCTGAAAGAGTCTTAATTTATTGCATATAGATGTATCTTTCTGAAGATGTAAATTTTGTTTTGTTTCGTTTTTTTGGATGAACATATATTTATATATAAGATATGCTTTGAGTTTACAAAAAAAAACCAGATGACAACTTGCACTATCAGTATGATCATTCTTATACCTTTCACTACAGCGACGACACCCATTTCAGTGCCATCAACTGTAGCAGTCAGGACCTCCAATATTCTCCCTCATTAATTGAAGTGATTAAATAACTGTGTAGAATCAATCAATCAAAGAAACAAGAGGCCCATGGGCCTTAACGGTCATCTGACAAAAAGCAAGCCAAACCTAGAAAGTGGGTTGAGGTCATTCATTTGAACAAACTTGGTAGCCTCTCCTCCAAGCATCTTACAGGCCCAATATCAGCACTCATGGACTTTTGCTTGTTGAGATGAAGTCCTTTGTATATTTTAACATATTTGACCCCTGTGACCTTGAAAGTGGGCCAAGGTCATTCATTTGAACAAACTTTGTAGGGCTCCATGCCAGCATGTTATGGGCCAAGTATTAGCCCCCTAGGCCTTCTAGTATTTGAGAAGAAGTTATTTAAAGATTTTGACATATTTGACCCCTGCGACCTTGAAAGTTGTTCAAGGTCATTCATTTAAATAAACTTGGTAGCCTTTCCTCCCAGCATGCTACAGACCCAATATCGGCACTCATAGACTTTTGCTTATTGAGATGAAGTCCTTTGTATATTTTAACATATTTGACCCCTGTGACCTTGAAAGTGGGCCAAGGTCATTCATTTGAACAAACTTTGTAGGGCTCCATGCCAGCATGCTATGGGCCAAGTATTAGCCCCCTAGGCCTTCTAGTATTTGAGAAGAAGTTTTAAAAGATTTTGACATATTTGACCCCTGTGACCTTGAAAGTTGTTCAAGGTCATTCATTTAAACAAACTTGATAGCCCTTCATCCCAGCATGCCACAGGCACAATATCAGCAATCTGAGCCTTTTGGTTATTGAGAAGAAGTTGTTTAAAGATTTTAACATATTTGACCCCTGTGACCTTTAAAGTGGGTCAAGGTCATTCATTTGAACAAACTTGGTAGTCCTTCATCCCAGCATGTCACAGGCCCAATATCTACACTCTGAGCCTTTTGGTTAATGAGAAGAAGTTGTTTAAAGATTTTAACATATTTGACCCCTGTGACCTTGAAAGTGGGTTGAGGTCATTCATTTGAATAAACTTGGTAGCCTCTCCTCCCAGCATGCTACAGACCCAATATCAACACTCATAGACTTTTGCTTATTGAGATGAAGTCCTTTGTATATTTTAACATATTTGACCCCTGTGACCTTGAAAGTGGGCCAAGGTCATTCATTTGAACAAACTTTGTAGGGCTCCATGTCAGCATGCTATGGGCCAAGTATTAGCCCCCTAGGCCTTCTAGTATTTGAGAAGAAGTTATTTAAAGATTTTGACATATTTGACCCCTGCGACCTTGAAAGTTGTTCAAGGTCATTCATTTAAATAAACTTGGTAGCCTTCCTCCCAGCATGCTACAGACCCAATATCGGCACTCATAGACTTTTGCTTATTGAGATGAAGTCCTTTGTATATTTTAACATATTTGACCCCTGTGACCTTGAAAGTGGGCCAAGGTCATTCATTTGAACAAACTTTGTAGGGCTCCATGCCAGCATGCTATTGGCCAAGTATTAGCCCCCTAGGCCTTCTAGTATTTGAGAAGAAGTTTTAAAAGATTTTGACATATTTGACCCCTGTGACCTTGAAAGTTGTTCAAGGTCATTCATTTAAACAAACTTGATAGCCCTTCATCCCAGCATGCCACAGGCACAATATCAGCAATCTGAGCCTTTTGGTTATTGAGAAGAAGTTGTTTAAAGATTTTAACATATTTGACCCCTGTGACCTATAAAGTGGGTCAAGGTCATTCATTTGAACAAACTTGGTAGTCCTTCATCCCAGCATGTCACAGGCCCAATATCTACACTCTGAGCCTTTTGGTTAATGAGAAGAAGTTGTTTAAAGATTTTAACATATTTGACCCCTGTGACCTTGAAAGTGGGTCAAGGTCATTCATTTGAACAAACTTGGTAGAGCTCCATGCCAGTATCCTCTGTGCCAAGTATTAGCCCCCTAGACCTTCTAGTATTTGAGAAGAAGTCGTTTGAATGAAAAGTTTACGGACGGCGCACGGCGGACGGCGGACGACGACGGACGAAGCATGATGACTATAGGTCATCGGACCCTTCGGGTCAGATGACCTAAAAAACCCAGCCAATGGTAGGTCTGGGTTCCAGAGATTCAATGGTAGGTCTGGGTTCCAGAGATTCAATGGTAGGTCTGGGTTCCAGAGATTCAATGGTAGGTCTGGGTTCCAGAGATTCAATGGTAGGTCTGGGTTCCAGAGACTAAATGGTAGGTCTGGGTTCCAGAGATTCAATGGTAGGTCTGGGTTCCAGAGATTCAATGGTAGGTCTGGGTTCCAGAGATTCAATGGTAGGTCTGGGTTCCAGAGATTCAATGGTAGGTCTGGGTTCCAGAGATTCAATGGTAGGTCTGGGTTCCAGAGACTAAATGGTGGGTCTTGAGTTCCAGAGACTAAATGGTAGGTCTGGGTTCCAGAGATTCAATGGTGGGTCTTGAGTTCCAGTGATTTAATTGAGTATGTTAATATGTTGTTTATTAGACTGCGAGGACCTAATCCTCTTGAGACCTGTACTTTCAGCCAAGTTGTAATCCAACAGAGGATGAGGAATGATAAATTGATTGGTGCCAATCCAAGGAGACATGTGGGAAAAGGGGCCCATTTCTTTTACCAAAGACACATGGCAACCTGTTGAACTTTCTTAAGTGGAAGCAACAGTGCTTGATATTCAGAAGGGTGACGTCTCACTCTGGCCAAGAGTATTTGTAAGAGAAACATATATTGATGAATTCATAAGGAGGCAGACCAAATATGCCATAAATCTTTTTGTGAATAGCACTTTAGGGACCTGACCGAACTGGACTAGAGGTTTTTGTAGTTATTGGTAGTGTACATCCAGGACTGTCTGTTATATCTCTCAGCCATGACTTGTCCAATATAATACTTGTGTTACTCATACTTCTTCTGTACTTGAATTAATATGTTTAACATAGTTGGAGGGCTTATCATGTACAGTTTTCATTCCAGGTTCTGCTTGTACCAGGTAGGTTATCACAGAAATATGAAGACTACCAGATATTCCTGTAATACATAACCCCAAGCAGACAGACTTTTGTTTCAGGATTCTGGTCAACAATTAAGCAGACATCTATTCTTAATATCAGGAAAAGCTACTTCTAGTATTTCTAGATATTGTCCTAGACCTTAAAGCTAAAATGGTGATATAAGAATTCATTTCAGCAATTATGGTATTGAATTAGAACATGAAATTTCAATAAAAGCAGATAACAACTAGTGGGGAGTGCTCAAAAAAAAAAGAGAAAAGTTAATGAGTAAATAGACAGATAAAGTTATACTCCGGTGTATATCAATAATAACAGCAATATACAATTGATTGTAGACTGGTGTATAAAATTAGTACTTCTATATTGCCTTTTGAATTACATTATGTAGTAATGGAGACATGTTCACAGTATCTTCAAATTGTTTATCAAAACACACACCCTTACACACATAGCACTTCATTATTAGACATTGGCCTTGAAAAATCACTCTTGATCTATATTATTCAGCAAGGACAAAAATCCTCTACCTGATTAGCAGTACAAAACCACAGAAAGCTGTGTCGTGTGGCCATCACTGTGAGATGGTATAATTTGTTCTGTGACTTCATCGTTAGGCTGAGATCACAATCAATACTAGGTTTTATCGGAAATAGACCATAGTGGCCTGGTAATCTTTTGTCCTTAGACCTATGATAGAATGAGGTAAACATGCATACTTCATCTCTAATCTTATTTCAGGGCTTTTTACACAGACTGCGAACAGCTAATGCAGTTACCACACAATCCAGACATGTTACATGTATAAGGCAATTCCTTCATATACACATTACTCTGAAGAACAAAGGCTTTGTAAGGTGGATAGTCTCCTACTTTTTTTTCTTTTTATATTTTTTCCTCTGTAGTTTCATAAAAAAAGTTCTAACTTAAGCGACTAGATGCACAAGGAGGTACCTTTCTGTATAAGTTATTGATCATGTGTGGATTTTGTTAAAGATAGAATGTTTATGGTTTAAGGGGATTTCATTGTAGAAGTAATACAATTTTGAATTAAGTTCAAACATTATTTAATGAATTTCTCCTGATGGTCTGGATGGTATTTTGCAGGGGAAAATAATGATAGCAGTAACCAATGAATACCCATTCAGTTGTGTAGGTAAACGTCTAACTGTTTCACATCCGCAGGGAGAATTAAATTGCATCCCTCTTGGTGTTAGGAGTATTAAGTTACCATTTCCACTACCAAGTCAGCTATCATTAGAATGTCAGCTTTCTATTAGTTTCTTTCTTTATTGTGTTTTTTTTTCTCAAAAGGGATTGTTTTCTCATAGGAAGGAGTTCTCCTGGTTGGCTTTACCTAGGAACAATGTTTTAAAATATGTTTTATAGGTTTTTTTTTCATGTGTTTTCTGACAGGAATCTTTCAGAAAATCACAAAATTTTTAGAATTATGAGGCACCATCCTATCTCTAGATTTTGACATTTCTTTTGAACACTTTGGCCATCTTTACATCAACTCCTAGGCTTCAAAATTTAGGTCCTTAGCATCAGTGACAAGTCCTAGAAGGATGTTACAGTTGTACGATGCAGTTTAATTAATTCCTTATTTGGCTCTACTGTACCTTATTCTAAATTTGTGTCTATAGTACAACTTTTCAATGCAAGCATGGTTCAATTTGTAATCTCTAATCTATAGCTTTTGACTGAGAATGATTTTAAAGTGGTCTCCTGATAGAATTGTCATATATCAGAACAATATCATTGGAACTGTATGTGACTTGAGCTATAAACTTTGTCAAAACAAAGCATTACACTACAACATTAACTGATTTTATCATATCCAAGCATGTATCTACAAACTTTTGCAGCATTTTGTCAAGTTATGTCAAAATGAAAGAAAAGAATACCTACCATATTTGATTTGGCATATATCCCCAACCACGATTTCCCCAACGGGAATGTTGATATCTTGTCCGCCCCGAATCACTGAGAACTGATGATCATGTTCTATTTTACTCTGGAGTCCTCGGAATTGTTTTTCCTTTCTCCAGTCATTAAAAGCAGTCACAAGAACTACAACAATTACAGCCACTAAAATAGCCACCCCCTCAATCCACCCAGCTTCCGATTCCGAATCATCCCCACCTGTAACAGGAAAATAAAAAGCTTAGTTAAAATCAATTCTGATTTCTTTCAAATTGAAGTTTTTACACAGTGTGTGCCAATAATGCATATGTGCTGGTTACTTTAACCAAACAATCCAAATATGCATACAAGAATGTTGTGTTTTAAGAATAACAAAATTTATCAAAAAAAAAAAACTAATGGAGATAGCTATACAAAACTTTTGTTTAGCAGGTGAAGTTATTTAAGAGATTTCTTTGCCCTTGACATAATCAATCATACATACATAAATTACAATTGAATTTGAAGTAACCTCTAAATATTGTTTATTTAATTTTTGTTGTTATTTTCTAAAATCCACATAAATGAATCAACACTATACTCTCTATGAATTCTTATTTTAAAGGTTTTGCTTAAGTGATTTTCATAAAGAAAAGATTGTGCCATCTGTGACCTGTAGGGAATCCTTACCGTCTTCTTTAGATGGAGGCTTATAAAAAGATAATCCTAGAGAAATTAATGCAGCTACTAAAAGAATTATTAATGTCACATCTTGAACAGCTTCCCATACAAGTTGGAGGAAGGTTTTAGCAGGCTTTGGAGGTATCACATTGGAGCCGAATACTTTCCGTCGGTCTGCAAGGTCTGCTGGAGAACCAGGTAGACCTGTCAATATCAAAACAAATGAAACATTAATTCACATTATGTATATGTCAGTTTAAATTATAATTCTTTAATAATCCCGAATATCAAAAAATGCTTTTTCAGTTTAATACAAATAAATAGTATCTCCAGTTTCTGGTTTTATCTCAATTTGTAAGGATCAGAGAATTAAAATAATTTTTTCCTTCTTTTTCTTTCCAAAACAACAGCTTTTTTCTAAATTTCTTTTATCTTATATGGTTTTTCATTTGAAAATTGGCTTTAAAAGTATTATCAATATAAACATGAACCCACGCAAACTTAGCATACAGCCAAAGAACACCTTATCTCATTTCTTAAAACACTGAACATTTCATCCTTTGGAAACTGAAGATTGAATCTGGGTTGAATTACAATGGAAAACATTTCATACTCAAAAATAGAAATAAAGAGATATAATTAGCAGTAAAATAACTGAGGTATTTGCATGAAATACCACCTGACTTTGTGGTAATACATGGCTAGGCAGTTTCTATACAATTCTGTGAAATGGTGTACAGTTGCATTGATGAACAGAAAGTACATCTGCACCACAAAGTATTCTTACTTTTTCCTGCAGTGTAACAGTATTTAATGATCCCTGCAGTGTAACAGTATTTAATGTTCCCTGCAGTGTAACAGTATTTAATGTTCCCTGCAGTATAGCAGTATTTAATGTTCCCTGCAGTGTAACAGTATTTAATGTTTCCTGCAGTGTCCCTGCAGTGTAACAGTATTTAATGTTCCCTGCAGTGTAACAGTATTTAATGTTCCCTGCAGTGTCCCTGCAGTGTAACAGTATTTGATGTTCCCTGCAGTGTAACAGTATTTAATGTTCCCTGCAGTATAACAGTATTTAATCTTTCCTGCAGTGTAACAGTATTTAATGTTCTCTGCAGTGTAGCAGTATTTAATGTTCCCTGCAGTGTCCCTGCAGTGTAACAGTATTTAATGTTCCCTGCAGTGTAACAGTATTTAATGTTTCCTGCAGTGTAACAGTATTTAATGTTCCCTGCAGTGTAACAGTATTTAATGTTCCCTGCAGTGTAACAGTATTTAATGTTCCCTGCAGTGTAGCAGTATTCACTGTTCCCTGCAGTGTAACAGTATTCACTATTCCCTGCAGTGTAGCAGTATTCACTGTTCCCTGCAGTGTAGCAGTATTTAATGTTCCCTGCCTTGTAACAGTATTCACTATTCCCTGCAGTGTAGCAGTATTTAATGTTCCCTGCCGTGTAACAGTATTCACTATTCCCTGCAGTGTAGCAGTATTCACTGTTCCCTGCAGTGTAACAGTATTCACTATTCCCTGCAGTGTAGCAGTATTCACTGTTCCCTGCAGTGTAGCAGTATTTAATGTTCCCTGCCGTGTAACAGTATTTACTATTCCCTGTAACACTATCTAATGCCATGTAAATTTGATTTACCCATTATTCCCAAAAGATAAGTTTCAGACTTTCTAGAATTAGGTTTTGTTTCCAGTACAAAAAAATTGTATTCCAGATACCATTGAGCTTATGATAACACAGCTAGTATCAAAAACAAGACAATTGGATTTACAATCCATGAGCTAAGTAGATATCCAGCAAGCTGTATCTTGACAAGCAGGCTGCCTTTGAGGATAACCATGTCAAGACCAAGCAAGTATATCTTAACAGAAAACCTATGAACCAACAAATAAACATCTTTCCCTATAAATATGCAATAGCATGCCACATTTTACACCAATTGTTGTCCAGAAATAAATAATTACAAAGGACAATGGCTAAAATAGGGCCAGTCTATCAGAAAAAAAAGAGTAAATATTGACAAATGTAAACTAATATATATGCATCTTCTTTAATTTCTAAGAAGCAAAATCTACATAGGATGCCAACTGCTACAAATAATGATCAATTATTGACTTTTCAGGAGGTTGATATGGAGTTACTTTAACCTGGCAGAAAAACATTGACCAAGGGCAAGGCTGAAATCAAAGGTTCTTCATCTGTATATTACAAATGAAACATGAAGTCAATATGTTATATGTCAATCTGCATGTGACCATCTCTTATCCAATTAATACAAGGGAAGCACTGACAAATATAATACAATATTACCTATTAACATATGTCAAACAGACTCAAGAGAGACACATAGACCAACTCCCTTGAAAAAATATTAAACAGACACATTTACAAACCCACAGATCTGGTGAAAACTTTCAAATCATAGATCAAAGTAAAAAGTGGTTAGAGCTGATCGATTATGAGAATGACTCGATATATTGCAAATATGCCTCCATCGAAATGTATGATTGTGTAAGTATTTCAGTCAGACTGTCCTTGCTAGGAATATGCTACCTATGGTAAGTAGGTTTTTGACATTCCAAATTAATAAGCAATTCCATTCATATGGTTGTTGCTTAAAAATTTCAAACAGAATTTTTGCTATACCACACTTGCATTGTAATATGAGCCATATATCAATAGCATGCAAAGTGTAAATGAAAACACACAAACAGGCTGCTGTCAGCCTGGAAAACAAGTCACATTCTTAAATGAGGTATCACCATATATGGGTATACAAATTTAGTGCCTACAGCTAAAAAAACAGCTATATTCACCAGAGCCTACAACTGACAATAACAAGACCAACAACCTGTATAAGCCAAACCTTCAGCTAGACCAACATCATGCATAAACCAGACCTTCAACTAGTCCAACAACCTGTATCCTTCAAATAGACCAACATCATGTATAAACCAAACCTTCAGCTAGACCAACATCATGTATAAACCAGACCTTCAACCAGTCCAACAACCTGTATCCTTCAACTAGACCAACAACCTGTATAAACCAAACCTTCAACTAGACCAACATCATGTATAAACCAGACCTTCAACCAGTCCAACAACCTGTATCCTTCAACAAGACCAACATCATGTATAAACCAGACCTTCAACTAGTCCAAAAACCTGTATCCTTCAACTAGACCAACAACCTGAAAAAACCAGACTTTCCATTAGACTTGTATAGGTCAGACCAATCCCCATACTACCACTCTTTTTTGTAGTAACTGCATATTTTCTAAAAATTTGAATTCTTAACCAAGAAAATATTTACACAGGAAATTTTATCTATTCTGAATCACAAAGCATTGATCTCTGTGGTTTTACAACTGAATGTTATCCCAAAGAAGAGTCATATTGAGATTAAGGATGGCCATATACCATACAGTGATAGCAATGTAACTGTTGGTTGAGATTTGTATTGATCTCACTTAAATCAATGTTATCACTGTACACACTTTGTGCTTCAAAGTAAAATGTTCACAATCCAAATTATCAGCATTCACTAGTTGACGTTGAACTTAATTTGTAGCGAACAGAATCGGGACAGAATAAATGCCCCACATTAATCATTGAATTCAATTCCAATTAAGTGAGAATTTTGATGCAGAAGACAGGTTTTTTGTCAAAACTACCATCATTACTCAATAGGTGGGAAAGCTTACTGCCGTTTTCAAGGTCACAGCAATGTCACTGTACATGAAACAGCAGCATATTCCGTAACATTTGACAGCGATTAATAAGGCTTCACTTGAAGGGTGATTGCTTAAGTAATTAAATACCGACTACAATTACCTAGAATTAGTGTTACTTTTATAGCTATCTAAGATTAATGAATAAAACATCAACTACAATAACTCTACTGCTTATAACTGAAATCTACTTAGTTTGTAAATGGGGGCATTGACTTTGTGTTAATGCTGCTGTGGCACTTGAAAATGGCAAGATGTATCATCAGCATGAACATAGCAATTCTTCAAACTATTGGAAAATGTATCTCTGCCAGAAGTAGTTGACTAATTACATAACTTCGGAAATTATCACTTTCATAACTTTCCTTCAAAGCTATTAATCTTCATTCTAGAATCACTTAAATATTGCAACAAGTAATGTCAGGAAGAAACTATGGGAAATAATATAAATAAAAAATTTAGGAGCCCATCACTACCTTCCATGTGACACCATTTTACCATACTCTGTTTACAACAAGGAATATCTGCTGGCCCAACAGAGTAAGATGTACTATTAATCCTTATAAATACTAACTTCTTCAAAGATATAAATAGCAATATAATCGAAGACATTAGTATTGTAACACCTCTGGCTGAAGAAATATGTCTACCCATAACACATAAACCTCAATCTTTAAAAACAAAACTGGTATGGCAGCATTATTTTTGGCCTCCTAGTGTGATTGTGGTTCTTTCTCAGAGACGTGCTGTAGCTGTGGAGTCAGATGTCACTTATTCTTGCATTGCAATTTTGCAAGTGTGCTTAACTTAAACCACAGAGAATGTTCTGTTAAGATATTATTGTCAAGTTTCTAACCTCAGACACCATGTTTCAGGCAAAAAAAATATTCATTACTCCATCATTCCATAGACCTATGACAAGACCACAAACACCACAGGATTCAAGTGTAAGTAACTATCTGTACCTCCGACTAAACCATTAACATCAGACTCCAGTGTAAGTAACTTTCTGTACCTAAGATTGGACCACAAACACCACAACTCTCCATACCTCCGACTTAACCATTAACATTAGACTCCAGTGTAAGTAACTCTCTGTACCTACAACTACACCATTAACACCATCAGACTCCAGAGTAAATAACTCTCTGTACCTATGAGTGGACCACAAACACCACAAGGCTCAAAGGCAAGTAATTCTCCATACCTAAGACTGGACCATAAACACTACAACTCTCCATACCTTTGACTGGACAACAAACATCACACAAGGCTCAAACGTAAGTAACTCTCCATACCCCTAAGATTGGACAACAAACACCGCAACTCTCCATACCTTCGACTGGACAACAAACACCATAAGGTTCAAAGGTAAGCAACTCTCCATACTTATGACTGAACCATAAACACCATGACACTCAGGTCTATGTAACTGTCCATAGTGATAAGGAATCTGACATCAGATATTCTGACAGAAAATGACAACACACAACTCTACAACTGTATATGTAGATTTGTTTACCTTCTATAGGAGATGTATATAAAAGGCGACACAGCTCTGTGACCCCATTGTACTTTGACTGTATAAGGTTGTATCCTTCACTACCCCTGTGCTCCATAAGTTCCCGGAGCTCCATGAGAGGGACCCCATACTGTCCCTCTGAGTGTCGGGACAGAGCTATTCCATCTGGGTGGTCCTCCTCTGCCATCCTGGGTCTGTTTTTATCTATTTTCACTTCCTAGACTCTGCAATGATAAATAAGAACAACATAAATAATTGTTTACACAAGTCATTCATTTTTATATGGATTAATTCAAACAACCAACAAATTTCTTAAACCAGACTGTCAGATCAATACCCATCATCTCATTGTTTGTTATCCCAACTTATGCCTTCAAACAATTGTTTAATCAGATCATATATCACTGGAAGCAATTCCAGAATTTTTTCCCCTCAGTATCAATAAATTTAACATTGCCACAAATTTAATAATATACATACTCCATTCCTACATATAGCCCCCAAAAATATAACTCCATTCCTGGAGGAAAGCCCACCCAAATATTATTTCATTACAAAAGGATAAGCTGTCAAATATTACTTCATTCCTAGAGGAAAGCCCATCAAAATATTGAACCAATCCTGGAGTAAAGTCTCCCAAAATATTTCTCCCATACCTACAGGACAACACATCAAAATAATAGCCCACTCTTAAAAGAACCAGGAGATACTGATTGTAAAACTGAACCTAAATCCATCGCTTCCCAATCCTATAGTACAAAATACATGAAGTCCTACTGGGAGGGGAGACACTCGCAGTAAAACTCCTAAAATAGCAGTCTTCTCTTACAAATAAAATCAATTATGATGGGACAGTGTGGTTTTGCTGTGCAGTATCACTTATAGAATGTATAAACCATGAACATGGCTATGAATAATTGATGAGGGTTTGAAATTCCTGCTGCTAAATATAGGGTTATGACACATTTCATGCTACTAAGTCCCTCCCAAATGTATCAAACAACCATACTATACCGATTCAGGAACAGAGTTCATATTGCTTTTTCGATGAATTTGGTATTCGAGTACAGAGAAAATGAAAACAGTATAGGAGATCCCCTGGCACATGCAAACTTTCAATCACAATGCATGTCTCATGTTTGTGTGGTCACCTATTTCACAATATTGACTAGGAGGCGATACAAAATGATTCTTCTTGTGGACCAAATTACAGTTCAATGCCCTCTGTTCGTAACATTATTATCTGTAGAATTTTCTATATATAAACAAATGACTTTGTTGGGTGCATATTGACTGTGTGAAACATGAATACTGTATCATAACATGTCTGACATGACAATCTACCATAACTGAGAAGTTCTCCTGATTCATACCTTAGATATTTCTATCCAGGGCAAATCTAAAAATGGCTTGAAAGGGATATAGAGATCTCAGGTTCAACCATATGGAGAAAGCATTAATCAAGATACCTTAGATCTGATTTAGATCTTGAAGGAAACTTCAGATAAAGTCAAGAGATCTCAAGTTTTAGCCACATGGAAACTTGAGAATGTAGCCAAGGTATTTGAGATTAGAAAAGAAGAAGCCTGGAAAAATATAGAGTACAAAACCAAGAATGAAGAGGAGAGATCTTTGCTTTGATCTACAAAGAGACTCAAGAATGAAGAGGAGAGATCTTTGCTTTGATCTACAAAGAGACTCAAGAATGTATTGTAGAGGTCTTTGGGTTGTTCTTCAAAGAGACCCAAGAATGTAATGTACTGGTCGTTAGTTTGATTTACAGAGTGACCCAAGAATGTAGAGCAGATTTTAGTTTTTTGGGGTTTTTTCCCCCAAAAACACCCAAGAACTTAAAGCAGTGATCTTTGGTCTGATCTTCAAAGAAACCAAATAATTCAGTGCAGTGATCTTTTATTTGATTCTCAAAGATACCAACTAATGTAGAGCACTGGTCTTTAGTTTGATCTACAAAAGAACCAATAATGTTGTGCAGAGAACAAATAGACCCAAAATACAGCACAGGGATCCTTGGCTTCATTTGTAAAATTTGGGACCCAAGAATGTCTCTATAGTCAACTCCAGATACCTCACATTTGTTCAAAACTAAAAGGTATATGACTTAGGTTCATGTTCTGGAAATGTAATCCAAACACTTACAGAGGTCACATGCATGTTTAAGAGGCAATCTTGAAATGGAATTTTCAAACAGATGACAATCAGCAGTATGTTGTCCATACAACAAATCCTGTTATATTTGACTTGACTAGTCTAACAAGAGGCCCAATGGGCCTGCAAAGCTCAACTGGTATATATACCAGAGAGAAGAAGTTGTTTAAATATTTTAACAAATCTGACCACTGTGACCTTGAATATAAGTCAAGGTCACTTCTTTTTCAAACTTTGTCAGGGCTCATCCTAGGAACATACCAGCCAAATATCATGCCTCCAGGCCTTTTAGTACAGAGGAAAAAGTTGTTTAAAGCCACACAGCTGAAAATAATAAACTGCACACAGTGACAGATATCAAGTGTAGTATCTTTGTAGTATCCATGGAATATGGATATTATGACATCTCTGTATTAAATCCAGTTGCTTTGATAACAAAGTGCCATCTTCATTTATCGTAAACTAGGAAAAAAATGTTGTGAGCTAGCTCCAAAGATGAATTTGCATGTGGAGGTCTGGCCTCGGCTACTGCTGGCAGGCTTTCGAGAATCTGGTGATGAATACTGATTGAGTTAACACTGATGGAAGGGATGAAATAACCATCAAGTCTCTCCAGTAGGCTCACAAAAGGTCACGAAATTTGCACATTCAAATACAGTCTTTATTCCTGGGCAGAAGAATAGTGTATGTCTGCTCTGTCGGATTTCGATGTTCATTCAATTTTCCTTATAATGCAAAACCAGCCTGATGAATGTGTTTGTAGACTTATGTTTGCTTTCAATTGTACATCAACGTCTTGACCATTAACTGTTATGTAATTACAGATTCCCCTGAAAATTACTTCTCCTTCTAGACTGATCATAATAATACAAAGATGTCTTTTTTGTATCTCAGTTACATTACTAAGTTCATGTATAACTTTGTTACTTAGTATTTTTCTGTAAACATAATTACTTCCTATGAATAGAAAGTAGCATCACAATGCACATACAAGCAATAATCAAAGTGACCACAGTGGAAGTCACATGAAACAATATATATTTAAGATGTAATTATAAGCTCTAAGCCTGTTTCTCCCATCCTATATATAATATCTATAAGTCTAATATTGTTGAATATTGAATAAAATATTGTTTAAACTAACCCAAAATATAATTCTATCCCTTGAAGGATTATTTTGAAACAGATGATTATGAAAATAATCTCAGAAGCAGAAATGGTGATCAACCAAATCTAACATTAAGTACAAATTAGAGAGAGTTGGGAGATATGTTAAAATAACCAAAGAACATTAATCAATATGAAGCAATTAATAAAAAAAATAGAATTATCTCCCTTGAATGGATAGTCAACTAGAGAAAGAACACCATGTTACAAGCACAAACTGTTTCAGAAACCAAAGCACTTCACAGATGAGTCGAGGAATCTTGGAACAATTATAACATTTTTAGCTGCCTTTGACCTTTCCATCTGTGTCTGTCATTTACAAATGGCAATCCAATAGTGTGGATAAGCCTGGTTCCGCTTGGTGCCTTCAAGGCTCTAGTAGGTCCGGGAATGGCCTCTGCTTTTATCTTATGACTCAACACAACGAGAAAATGCTTAAAACAGATTGTAGTGATGGTGGGCTAGTGCCTCAGGAGAAAGTGCACTATACCCGCCACTGACTCCAGTAAAAACAGTACCTTTCAAAAATACATCAGTAGACCTTTTTCTCTAGCAGTACAGACATCAGCACATTCATCTTTATCAAGGAAAGTCGAACAGGACTCAATTCAATTAAATTTCCATAAATACACATATGAAAAACAAAACACAAAAATTTATTACATATTCATATGAAAATGAACCCATCCCAGGAAAAATGTTTCCTTTATTTATCTTGTAGACTCAGGAAGGAAAATATGCGAGTGTTTTTCAGCACTATGGCTACATATAGAATGATTAAGAGTCAACATGGCTGAGAAAAAACACAACAATATTTGCCCTAAATCAACAATGCTAGTGACACGTTGTAAAAGCAAAGCTAACAACAATATATTTTGTCCTCCAAAATCTCAGTGTTGTAATTTATTCTCATCAACTTGTGAAGTGATGGAACAAATAGCCAACGGTGAAGGGTGAAGCTCGATTTCAACCTCCCCCTCTCCCAAAGAAATCAAGAAATCCAGACTGTTATTGTGCTCAGTCAATCCAATCCTGTCTGTGACCAATGAATAAAGCAAACATTGATTTTCCACATTATTGTATATGTTAAAATATTGCACCCGTCTGGGTCATCTTCTACGTTTTGGCCACTAGTTCCTTTATACGTACTTTGGTAGTAATTTCATTAGTTTCATTACTGATTGTTTTTTATCAAGTCTGAATTTCTGATATAAGTAAGTACACTGATCACAACATAACCTACATATACAGCAATAGGGTGAATCCAAACCAGCCATATACATAATCACAGCACCCATTAGTTGATGGAAAACTTAATAGAACTTCTACTAAATCTTTTTAACACAGTTATACTGGCACTCATTGAATTTACACTGCATGGATTTTGTTACCCTGAAGACATATGTCTTATGAATTCGTTGTACAACATATTGACAAGAAACATCAAACAAACTTTCATTTGGCAATTACATACTGTGTACTAAATAACATTCTGTTTTATAATGTTTTAAGCAGAGGAGACTTGATGGTGGCCATCACTGTGACTGAGGAATGGTCGTAAGTGGATTGGAAATAACACAGGACAATCAATCTCAAACCAAAGCCATCCTACTCGCCTGTAATCAATGGTTACCTCAATGTATGCAGACAGCGAGACCAAAAGACACGCTAATTCAGGAAAATAACACACAATTAATCGACACTGTTTTACCATACAAAACAGATTAGTACTAACAGCATCAAACTATTCCTGTAGAATTTCTGAGGATTTCAAATCAAGTTGACGATTCACACTAATGTATAAATGCTAAGAAAATTTGTGGAATTAGTCATCTGAAACTTGAAATTATCCAAAATAAGAAAGATAGATGTCATACATTATATTTAAAAA